ATGGACCATGAAGATTTTACTGCCACTACAAACGGAGAAATTCGACCCAAAACACACAAACATACAGGGGAGAATTATGAGACGTTAGGTCGTTGTTGTATTATTATCTCTTACAACCCTTTAGTATAGAAGAGTGCCCACGTAAAGAGCTGACAGTATGGAAGAGGTCTGTAGCCAACTGTGGGTAACGGTGTCAAAGGAGTGTGACGGCATTGTAGAGTAAACAAATCTACGATGAAGCCTGTCAATGGGCATCAAATGCGGTCGTGGAGGCGGACTTGGGCTAACATCAAGACTTTTTAATAATAATCATACAATCAGTCGTCATTTTAATTCAGAATTTAAATGTGAACTAAGGCTGTCGCACGATAACCAATTTTTTTTACAAAATATCCAAATATAAATGTTAAAAACTGTTTTTGTGACATTTTGTAATGTGTTTATATTAACCACAAGAGATGAACGACATTTTTAAATGCAGAACAATTTACTTTTAATTCTTCCTACTCGTATATGTATGTGGGAGTACATCTAACAAAATGAAATATTTGTTATAGAAAATGTTTCTTTTTTAGAATACTTTTCTTTTTTTTTTTAGTTTATACAGGATGCGCTAAAACTCGCGCCCCAGAGAAAAATGTCAGGTAGGATACCATCAGGAACATGGAAAAAATGTTAAAAAAATTCAATCTATAAAAATGTCGAAGTTATGAAAGTTTAAATTTTGCACTTTGACAATTTATCAATAATTATCCAAGTTTTTTTGCTACAGTCTATTAGATAGAAGAGGAAACAAGAAAGTTGTATCCTAAATTGTAATTCTGTTTAATGTTAGTTGTGACTTTTATTAGCAAAATTTTTGATATTTACTAAATAACTACAAAAAAACATATTCAAGATTATCAGTATCTTTATAAAATATGTCAAATTTCAAAAAATAAATGACAAAATTTTTTGATAGATTTTTTTAAACATTTTTTCCATGTTCCTGGTATCTTATTTTACTTGAAATTTTCCTTGGTGCGCGAGTTCTGACACACCCTATATTTATATAAAATATAAGCATTAAAACAAATAAAAATTGTGGTTATTAAACATTATTTCCTCTCAAAAGGAATAAAGTGACGCTTTAATCCCTCCTTTTTGACTAATCAATAATATGGTACTTGTTCCTTCGGAAACAAAAATAAATGAAATATTGATTTTACTTTAACAATTAACTAGAATTGAAAAAATTGAATCCTCTGAGTGTTTTTTAACATAAACAAACTCTGTGATATACATTTTTACTTTTAAAATTGCTATAAAATGAATTAAATATTTTGACAAATTATAACTTTCTTATCTTATTATTAATTTATTCTGATGGCAAAAAAAATTATATGCATCTCTGGAATAAACATAGTTGTTATTCCTCGAAAAAAATGCCCTCGGTCGCCTCTAATATTATACCGTAAAATCAAAAATTATCTTGGTCAAGGGTGTTGTTCTATTGATACATAAATATTATTACTATTACATTATTGGTTTCAAATTTACTTTTAAGTTTTAATCACGAGTACCTAGGGTACTTTTAATCTTTGTGTCAAAAAATTTATTGGTGATAGTGAATATAAATTAGGATGTTTTAGGTGACTACTAAGGCTACAGTTGCCTATAAAAGTTTGAGGTTTGAATTTGAGAGTCAAGAGCGACGGGTAATTGCGCTCAACGGTCAATCGCACTCAACGGTCAATCGCGCTCATGTTATTTTTCACTTATTTGAGTGTTATTTGAATTTGTTTATGGACCGCCATCGAACTTTGTAATAAGGGAAGTATCTCGTGCATAAGCCGTCTTATTCAGCAGTGAAATATTTGAGTAGTGTTGTTCGATGTGTTTTGCGTACTGCTGTTATTACTTCACTTAATATTTCTACATAGGTTTATAAAGCCATTTTACATTTTTTCTTAATAAAAAAAATGGAAATACTGCATCTACACTTGTTAATTAAAACGTTATTAATAATTTTTGACAAATATCCGTCTTTGAAGTTATGTCAGTATTTTTAAAACTTCAACACAATCTGGGCAATTGCGCTCAGCCTGAAATATGATTTTTTTCAAAGAATTTGGTAAAAACGAGCTATGGTATAAGAGTTTTTGTGGAAAGTGGATTCATGCAAACTGTTCAGGGGCTGATGGTCCACATGAATATATTTGTGATTATTGCAAATAAAATTTAAAATGTTAAATTGTTATCGCAAAGTAAAATTATTTTTTAAAACGAAATATAATCTTCTCTTGAGTTATTTATTAATATAGTTTAGTTTTTTACTTTTTTGGTGTGCATTTTAAAGTAATAGTTAACTTATTTCAATTTTACGCCATTGCATTTACTTAAGCGGCATTACCCTACTCAGTTGGACAATGACTCTCTATGCGCGTTATTGTAAAATCTTTTTTTTTACATGTTTGACTTTTATTTCGAGGATTTTTTACATAGAGTTGGTTTCTCTACATTTCGGTTAACCGATTGGCGAAAACAGAACTATAGAATATTATTATTTCTCTCAAAATATCAGTTTGAAATTAGGTGAGCGCTAATACCCATCGCTCCCCTAAGTGATACCAACTTAAGGATAAAAGTCACAGACGGTCCCCCGCATTTAAATCTCTAATAAAATTAATAATAATCCAATTATCTCGTTTCCGCCCCTAAAAAATCGGGATAGTTGCGATTTTAAGGGTTGTGTTCTAAGTATATTAAACAAGTGCGGATATTGGCACCCATCGGGATGGTCAGCCCATCCGCATTACAAAAAAAATACAAACAATCTCAAAAAAGGTTCTTGGCCAATTGACGCGTTAGAAAATGTTGTAGCAACATTTCGAATTGGAACTGGGAAGCAGAAGTGCTAAATAATTTGCTATCTTTATTCTTTATTATTCCACATTTAAAGATCGTTTGAAGAACGGTATAACTGCCAAACCAGTAATGTGTTTTTACCCAAGAACAGGAACAAGAAATTTTAGATCATTGTCTTAATTTATCCAAAATGTCCTACTGATCTCAGAAAAGTCGTTTTTGAATACTTATGCAGATATTGATATACCCTATCTATTCAACAAAAGCAAAAACTTGCCGGCAAGGATTGGCTTCAAGGTTTTGTAAAAAGACATCCAGCCATTAGTCTTAGAAAACCTGAAGTTACGTTAGTTAACCGAAAGATAAAAAAGAGCAAAAATGCGAAGTGCTCAAAAATTTTGACCGCCACTCTTGAAAAGAAAAATTTGAAAGAAAAGGAAGCAAAAAAAATAGGAGACAGTTAGGAGAAAAATATGGTTAAAAAACAATCAGCACCGCAAACAAAGAGTACAAAGACATCTAAGATCAAGTGTTCAACCTCAGCAAATATCAAAAGAGCTAATAAGAAGTTAAGAATCGAATGTGTGCGACGACGAGTTCTCAGAAAATTGAAGTCTGCAGGACTTAGCAGTAGTGAACAGGGAAAAGATGAAACATGTAGCAACTGAGCACATAAAAATTGCTGAGAAGAAAAGAATGCAAAAAAAATGCGATTTTTGTTCAATTTGTTTTTGTTTTTTTTTTGAGTTTAAAATCAATTTCAATTTTTAAATATACACTTCAGTCTATTAATTTGTATTCATATTTCTTCTCTTTTGGGCGGTATGGCCCGACATCTCAAAGCAAGCTATACTATAACTATAAAAAACAAATTTTCTACAAGTTTCCTATAAATTGATTGAATTAAAGCATTAGAAGTAAAATTTTTCACACTAAAAATCAGAACAACTTGACAACATTTTCTAAAAGTATCATAGATGCATAGCATCTGGAAAAACAAACATATTATTATTCATCATTACTTTTGCTAGAAGTGGTAGTAAAATACAGAGAATTAGATGAACTCAATGGACCTTTTTGTAAGTAATTTTTTGTTTCTTCAAAGATCATAATATTCATAATTCAAAACACACTCTTTTGATCGCATAGCCTACATCTACAACCTTTTTCTTGGTGTAAATAATTAATAATTTAGGCATCACTGCCGGAGTATAAAGCTTTTTTTTCAAATTCTCTGTTAGTTTCTTATATTGTGAAAGGAACATTAAAACATATGCCTACATAATTCGTAATTGCATTTCCATTATCCATTTATAACCAACTTGTTGAGGATGCTACTGCAGCCTCCCTTAACGAGCAGTTATAAATCATATCAAACGCCACAACTTGCAAATTTATGAGACATTTCACATTCCTTTATTTCGTTTAACATACAATTGATATAATAGGTAGGTGATTTATTAAATGTTCAAATCTAAATAATGTTCTTTGCCATTTTGTTGATGTTCAATTTTAGTACAACGATAAAAAACATGAATATGCGTAAAGCATATGCGTTAATTTATAATATCTAACATACATATTATAAAAGTAATTTAATTCATTTAATCAAAAATAACAGAGCAAAAAAATGGCAAATAATTTGTAAAAAAAAGTTTAAGAAGTGTCCATTTTGTGTAAAAAATAATAAACTACCAAGTTATCAGTATTCTCAATATTTTAAAATTTTAATTCACTTGTAGTATCTAAGTCTTACCGGGTGACTATTATTGTTTGTGGAAAAAAAACCTGATGGGCAACATTGAATTATTGGTAATCCTTCTAATTTAACGTTTCAATTTGAGTTCCAAGAAAAGTCAGGTTGACAAACTAAAATTTTAAATTTGATGTCAACCTAAGAACAAAAATCAGTCATTTACTGTCCCCAGTATTTAAATTCCATGTCCGAGTGCATAGGCAACCAATTATACACATAAAAATTCACGCTAATGGTAAACCTTAGGAGTGTTTTTTATTCTCCCGAAAACTTATTGGAAGGAAAAATAACAATTCTGTAATAAAAAATACTGAATTTGAACTCAATCGATCATAAAATAATTGCAACGTCGAAACTCTCACTGAATCCGGTGATGGGTTAAGAAATAAACAAATTGTTTGCAAAAAAACTTGTATTCCGTCAAGTCTTACATCTTATTAATCAAAGAAAATAAAATTAATGAGCAGCCGCTGCCGCTTTACTCTTTTTAGACTTCTCCACTGTCTTCTTCTTGCCCACTTTCTTTGGAGGTTCGGCGACACTCTCTCCTTCAGTCAACCACAGTTCAATGTGACACGGAGACGACATATAGGGGTTAATCCTACCGTGTGCCCTGTATGTCCTACGCCTTAAACAGGCGGCACGATTGACTTGAATATGTTCAACAACAAGCCTATCAACATCCAAGCCGCTGTAATCCGCGTTACTCTCGGCATTCCTCAACAATTGGAGCAAAAATTCGGCCGATTTCTTCGGCCAACGGCCCTGTGTTGTGCCCCATTGCTTAGCTTGGGCGCATCTGCCGACGCCTCCATTGAACTTCCTGAATGGAACACACTCTTTCTGCGCCAGGACGTTCTTCAAGTAGGCTACAGCACGCTTCAGGGGCATCTTCTTGATAGCATTAGCGGTTTCACATGTGTTTTTAAAGTGAACTCGCAGGTTAGAGCCACGTGCTTTGCAAGATTTAGCCGCATTGTCCGGCTCCCGTGCGTAACGACCCATTTTTCCCTAAAAACACACAGATTATTACAGAATAGTTGTTTCGCAACACCTACAATTAATTTATTACTTAATTTTTGGCAAAAAAATGCCGAAAATAATCACCACAGTTCTGTGTACCTGACAGAACCTGTAAGAAAGAAATGGCGGACCGACTTCCGGTACTGTCAAACGTCAGGGGCGCCAACACAAACGCGCCAAATTCAAAATAAAAGCGAGATTATTGCTAAAAACTTTAATCAGTATAAAATATAAACAAATATAATTTAGCAAAAATAAATATTTACAATCCTCTATAAGTCTATAATATATACAAATATAATATTAAGTGTTAGTTATATAAATGTTTTAAATGTTCTGTTACAAGAATTTATAGTAGAATTTTTTCACCAACAACAATTTTCTTCGGTTTATTTATATTTAAGTACAACACCATTGATAAAACGCTTATAATCGAACCAACAACAACAATGTAAAAGATATATCTGAACCAGAAATCGTTGTGCATATCTTCAACATTGTGAACCCACCAAACCATACACATGATAAAATTTTGTAGATAAACTAAGGAAAAGTAACCATAATACATAAATTTCGTTTTCTTAAACTTGATTTTAAACTCTATAATACAGAAAATATAAATAAGTCCTATAAACACAAAAAATAAAGCTTTGGCTCTTTTAACATCATCACTTTTGACATCATAAACTAAAAAAGCAACAACTAGAAGAAAATGTGCCAGAAGCAACCAGATAGTTGCATTAGGATAGAAGAAAAAGAATGCAGAAATTGCTAATATTCTCACTAGCAAAAAACACAACCACCAGCAAAATGCAACAAGTTTTCCTGCTAAATCGTCTTCGGGTAATCCTTTAATAACTGCAACTCGTTTAATGTTAAAATCGGGCTCTGAAGTTTCTTGGTATAGTTTTCGCAAGGGTCCATCAATTACCGACGTTTCTCTAAGGGTTCCAGGGAGTTCTTTCAAAGATCCTGTTGAAGGTTCCATAAAAGAACCGCTACTTCTCCGACTTTCCGATATAATAACAGGGTCATCCTCATTCTTTTTAGTTTCAGCGGGTTTTAAAGGTGAATCAATTTGATCAATGGTAGGATCTTTAGGCTTTTTATAGGCTTTAAACCAAGGATATTGCTTTCCTGCCAGCTTTTGAGTCTTAAATCGGTGATAAAACGCAACTGTTGCTGCTAATTTAGCCAGATTAAACACAAAACTTAAAATTTCGGCGTCAGCTGAAAAAAAAAAACTGACAATAAAATATGTTATTTAAAGTCTAGTCTTACTCGTTTGTTTGTGTGTGTCTTCAACTTGTCTCATTATTATGTTGATGTGAAGTAACATTTGTGGCAATGATTGTAAAAATGCTTGAAAAAAGAAATACAATTCGATAGAACGTGGTGCTGTTATTGTTTGTATTGCTTCCGATATTGTTTTTTCATCATTTGAACGCATTCCTTCTATTGACCAAAATATTCGTTCCGCAAATCTGTAATTATTTTATTCATACTTATCACCAATAAAAAAATTCTCTTACCTCCATATAGCCCACACGGGGAATAATAAATGTTCCAAAGTTTTTATCAACCACCACAAGAAATTATCACACCCACAACCCTCCATTTCTGGCCACAACTCCCATGATGATGTTACCACAATATATGAACAAAGTGAGGGAAAATAAATAATAAATAAAGTGACTGAAGCCCATATGGGGTCTTCATCCTTATAGTGTCTAAACACCACCACACAATCACTTGCAAATAAAAAAATATACAACAAAAAAGAACAGACTGAAGGTATGAAATAATTTATAATGATATCTTGTCTGGGCGTAAGTTCATAATTTAAAAACGTTTTTCTTAAATAAACTTGTCCTTTTTCAACACCCATTGTTCAAAAAATTATTTTCAGGTTTCCGACATGTTGAGTCAAATTTTATCACACGTTATCGTTATCTCTATATTGATAAACATGAGTCAATGTTAACATATTTTATTTTACACATTTTTCTAACTTAAAACAGATTAGAAAATTATCTAGCAGGGTGCAAACCTTCCAAATAAAACGAATGTTTTTCCAACATTTCTGCTACAGGGTCTTGTTTATTACATTCTGGGTCATATTTTGGTCCTAAAGCCCATAATGAATCTAAATCGTATAAAATTCTAGCTTCTCGAGAAAATATGTGAAGCGCTATGTTACCTAAAATTTCAATTAGTAAACAGTTTTTAAAATAACTTTAATTACCTAAATCTAAAGCTAACCAATCCTTTGAGTTTTCACCTTCAAGCTTAGGAATAAGATCACTTTTGTACATTTTTTTCTTATAAATCATACGAACAAATTGTGCAATTGCTTTCATATGTTTGTGTGATTTTCCAGTGACAACACAAATGTATTCAACATATTGAATTTCTTTAGGGACAGCAGCTACAAATATGTCCTCAGCATTTTCAGTATGAAGAACTTGAATTAAGTCCTCAATATCATAGACACCATTGACACCTCCTTTAAATAGGCATTAATTATAAACAATGTTTAAAAAACTATGTGGAAGTAATACTCTCTAAATTAAGACCCTCAAAAGGATCAGGTGCCTCCTCTTCAATTGCATTTACCGGATTTGAGTATTTACTTCGATCTTCGTAAATATCAAGTATGACTTCAGAATCCTCATCTCTAAAAACCTGGTATTTTGAGCTCATTTCACCAAGGGGTGTCTTGGTAGTATTTTTGGATGTGTCTGAAGGTTGGAGTTTTTCACCTTTGTCAGATTTCATTCTTTGGTGGACACAATTTTGTAACAAATAGTAACACTGCTTTTGTGGGCGCGTTTTACTCAAAAATCGTGTCACAAACATGTTTAGTATTTTGTAAAATAAATCTAGATTTTGTGCATCTTAACCTCTAAATATGACATAACAAAAAACAGAGATAGTCATATCTTGCTTTTAAACAGTTAGAAAGAGAAAAGGAATGATTTTTGACAGATAAAGATAAACACGTGCAGATTGAGGTTAGAGATTTATTAAAAAAATATATTAACAATTTATTTTTATAAGGAATAAAAAGTCATGAAGTTGGATGTTAAAGGTTTTTTTGATTACGGGGTGTCTGATCATTGTTTAGAAAACAATAATTATGAATCGACTATTAAATTGTTGTATGATTGTAAGTGTAATAACAATTTAACAGTAAATTTCTTCCAAGTAATGAATTTCAGTCGGTTACAGAACAATAGCCATAAACCAAACACTTGTTGCAAATGAATTAGAACAGAAGAAGAAGAAGAAAAAAGGGGAACCTAGAGAAGCCCCATCAGATTTAGTACCAGAACCTTTCAAAATAACTCCACTCGATGTAATTTTTGCAATCACAGATTTTGTTTAAACTAACACAAATATTGCAGGGTTGTGAAGGTCTAACAATTTTAAACCGTCTAACGATAGTTTTTTCAAATCAAGATGTAATTCATAAAATTGTAAGTCATTGTCATGAGATTATAAACTCGTTACATTATTCTTTTAGATAAAGTCTCCACATTATAAAAAATATCACATTATTGCTGTTTTACCAGAAACAATTCAAGCAAATGCGGTGAGATTAAAGGAAAAACTTTTTACTTAGTTTTTTGTAGTTTGTTTGTAGCAACTTTGAAGCGGACATTTTATGCTTCCACCCAGAGGAAAAAAACCATATTAAACGTTCAAGGAAAATGTACAAACAACTCGTAGATAGGGGCTATCATTTTGAAATTCCTTATGCTCCAGCAATTGAAGATACCACAAAAAGGAAAAATATTATACACATGGCGCATCTATATCACATTTTTATCAAATCAAGAAATGTTATTGTGTCAAGTGTAGCTACAAAGCCCACGTTTCTTAGGGGCCCTTATGACATCATTAATTTGTAGGTGTTTCAATTTAATACTGAAATATTTACTAAAATACTAGTTTTAGTATAAGCTAACAAAGACCTTTCATTCATTCTTTCATTTTTTATATCTAAACTTTTTGATTTAGTGATTGTTTTATAACTTGTGTACTAAGCAATAAAAATTTTAATAATTAATGCAAATCATTAGATAGAGGTAAGAGCACTATTTAATGGCGTTTCTGTTTTTTTTAGAGGTTTAATATTTGGATTAAATGAAGAACAGGCGAAAAACTCGATAACATATTGTGGTCGTAAAGTTTTTATCAACGCAGGTAAATTACATGAATTAATAGTTATAAAATTTGAGTAAGTATTTTTTTAGTTGGTCGAAAACATGGTAAGGCTGTTATGTTTGCTGAAAATATAGAAAAAGAAGGGGTTTCAAATGATTTTGAGGTAATAATTGATGAAAGTGAGGAGGATATGGAAACTGATCAACCAGCATTAAAAAGAGTTAAACAATGAGTTTTTATCATGGCTTTTTTTTATTGTGTAATCAATAAAATTATTTAAATTTAAATTGTTCTTTTTTTATCATTAACAATAAAATTATGGTAATAGAAGAGAATGTATAAATAGGTGCTGATCTAATTAGTTTTTAATTGCTGTTCTCATATTTAAATAAATAACGTATTCTAATTAACAGGTTTTGATAAATCAATACAAGTTTTCATGTAAAGAAAGTTTGATTGTTGCTTATGCAATCTATAGCCAGGTCTGTTGTAATAATGAGATATGAAGTAATTATACGTTTGTGTGTAAAATTTGAAATTGATTGATTGAGGGAGCGAGAAATTTAGAATTCGAAATAGAATCGGAAGTTGTAGTGTTTTGGTACGTTAATTCAAATTTGGCGCGTTGAAAGGTGGCAGCACCGTCGATCACAAGCGTAATGATAAAATGGAGTATTCATTTATACGTGCAGTTTATACACAAAATTTAATTAAGTGAATTCATGTATATAATCGTTGATAAGTGTAACTAATAAGTAAAATATCTCAAATACAAATGTGGTTATCAACGTAGCATAGTTTAACACGGCGTATACGTAGTGGAAAGTGCATTTTTCGTCGGTGTCAAAAAGGGATAGAGTTGAACGGAACAGAGGCCGACGGTGTCCATGGTGAGTTTCCGCAAACGTCCGGTTTTCGTAAATCAGTGCATGCGAGCCTGGCCAAATCGGTCGATTATCTCGAAAAGCATCGATAAATCCTGTATCGATCGTCGCAAATCGCCGTCGATTCGCTAAAATCGCTCCTGCAACGAAAGAAATCGTCCTCCGTCGCCATTGGCTGTCCGAAAATCAACATTTCCAATGCAAGAGATCACCTGATTGGTCGCGTTTCGACAATTGAACCGCGCCGTTCCGGCCACCGGGCGCCCCCATGGACGTCCAGCGCCGGGACGCCACGTTTCCGCGAAATCTGAGCATCCATGGCGGCCGGTAAAGTTCATTGTTCTCGACGCCGGCTCGATTGACGGATGGACGATGGCTCCTTATCTGAATCGTGGCAGCCGGGACAATCGCGGCGCCCGGACGCCCCCGCCGCCCCCCGTTCCATCGCGCCGCGGCGCTAATCAATTTCGTAATTACCCCTCGCACACATCTTCCATTTCTCTTGTTCCCGGTGTGTGATTGCGATTTCGGATTAACGGATCGTTGCCATGGTTATTATTCTTAATTTTGTTTTGTTGGCAGCACAGCCACCCTGTTGGATGATGTTTTTGGGTCACATGATTTCTATCGATTTTGATAATTATGGTCGATGATTGGCATTGTTGCGGTTATTTATTGAAGGCATTGCAATGCGTTAATTAGCAATTAGGTACGACGTGGAGGGGGGCAATGGGCGCGCTCCGATTGGGCCCTGGGGTGGAAAGTTGTACCGCTGATGGTGATTTTTCTACACATAAGCGTATAGCTTTTCCCCTTCGGTCTCAATCACAACAACGATCTTCAGCCTCAGGTATGCCTCTCTTCTTATACTTCGGCTTTAAATTGTGACTCGGTGCAATTATGCTTATTAGACGAGTTGACGAACGGTCGATTAATTTGATGGCGGTTTTAAAAACGTTCGCGTCCTCGTTTCTGCGTAGGCTGCGAATGCGAGCATCGATTTTAACCTCAATTTTAAATGTCGTTTATCAGACAATAAAAAAATACGGTTTATTGAAATTGGACAATAAATTTTCTAGATATTAGCAGATAGTACATTTTATTGTAGTTATTTTAATACGGAATCTTTCATCTTGAGGTTACCTCCCATCAAGATCATGACGAAGTGTGATGCCTACAGCAGGAAATTGAAATGATTAAATATTCATATAAACAAACTGTATTTTGCAATATTATTACAATGTTTAGTAACAGAATGATCTTTTTGTTTATTTCTACTAATAGAAATGGATTGAGGTAATAACAAGATTACTGCATCTACGTTGTTTGTTTTGTTCTTTTACGGAATTTTTTTTATAAAAACACTAGAAAATTGAAAATGGACAACTTAAAATGATTCTATTAATTTTTTCAAAAAACAGCACAATAGAATCAATCTTTGGTTTTTATTTATAGAAATTAATTCAGAAGTATACTCTTTTTCATATTTATGTGCATCAAGTAGGTTGTAGAAGTCTAAATGAATCTTTAATTTAAAGTCCGATTTACACAAAAAGTGTCATTAATGTCATTCAAAACAAATTTAATCACATCAATAATGACAAAAATCTTTATGTTTGCTATCCTATGTTGATTACGTTGTTAATAATAACTATTTTTTGCTACATGGTATACACATTTATTTGAAAAAATAATTTTTAGGGAAAATTGAGTTTAGGATTGTTTGAATTTTCGCATGGTTGCCACCTTAAAATGATCTCTTTCAACGACTACTTCGATGCACATTAATATGAAAACGAGTATACAGGGTGTTTCACGTAATTTTACGAGGCCTGCGCCTGTAAGATGCAATCAATAATACATATTCCGATACGAACTCGATTACAAATTTTGAAAAATTGAATAATCTTCTCTAGTTTGTTCACCCTTTAAAAAATTACAACGTTTTTAGTTAGTTAGTGAGTAAGATAGGTAAACTAGAATCATATTCATGTCGTCTCTTGATAGAACAAATGATAATTGTTTCTGAAAAACTGCAGTTTATGACTATTAATGACATGATTAGTTTGACAACTGTCATGGGTTTCCAAAAATTAAATAGTTAGAAGTGTATCTTTTGAATCCAGTGTTTTTGTGACTTTTGTATATTTGGGTGCGTACATTAGGTGTAAGCCTCGTAAAGTTGTGTGAAACACCCTGTATATATTTTTAATTATTGGGTTTTGTGGTATAGTATATTATTTAAATAGTATAAAATAAAAGACTATAAACATTACAATAATCTTGTTTGTGTTTAAAATACATTTTATCAAAAATTTGAAACAACGTACAAAATTATTTTTGTTTTTGATAAACTATTCTACCGAAATAGTAATTTAGGTATTTTCCGTAAAGTTAAAATCTATAGTCTTTAGTTTTTAAAAGTAAATTACATACATATTAGCATTAATTTCTTGATAAAATAAATTTCACTTTTGCATACTCAGTTGTAAATTCTGCAATGAAAGGATTGCTGTGATTAAATACAATATCATATTAAACCGTTTAAGATTCCTTCACGTAATTTTATTTAAATTAAACTGAATGATCCTAAAATTGTATCAACATTAAGACGCTAATAACATGTACTTGTACATCTAATAATTAATAATAAACTTTTTAATAAGAGTAACATAAGATTCTATTCTAAATTATTTATCTGTTCTGTCACCATACAGTTGAATGATTTTTTTATTAATTTTTTATAACATTTTCCTAAGAATTTTTTTTTACAATATAATTTACATTACACATATTCAAAATACTCAGTTTGTTACATAAAAACTATTGCCACCACGCATACAATATAATAGTACAAAGATCATCCTACAAAGCAATTAAATTCAAGTTTCGAAGCATGGGGTAAAAATAAGTTTATTGCCTCTTCAACTTATGAAAAAGAAGTGTAAGTGAACTCTTAAAGCAAAGTAGATCCAGTTAGTTAATTATTTGCGAGTACATGTTGGCACTTTTCCATAATTAAAACAGTACGTTTTATAGTTTCTGTGAAGTATGAACCTGTATTGGTGTTTATTTTAACAATTTACTTTAATATCAAATTATTAAACTTTGATTACTCTAACTACGTAATAAGTACGTTATAAATTTGGTTTTATATTTTTGTTTTACTTGTGTGAGCATTAAACAAGTATTATTAGCATCAACAACACCTTTCTTACACATTTAGGACAAAATAAAATACGGATTTGCGAAAACTTATTACACGAATTGGTTTTGAATATCGATACTTTTAGATATTATGTGTAAGTGAAAGTAGAAATAGTTGAAATATCCTAAAAAATTATAACAGTTAACAGTATTTCTAACAGTAAACAAAATTTTTAGAGATTAACATTTCCTATTTATAACATACTAAGATACTTCTTCAAAAAAAAAATTTAATTTAATTTTTACAAGTTCGTTTGTTTAATGTTGAGCTTTTCCAACATTTTAAGAGTGGGTGTTAATAGCGAACTGTCGTCTTAGTCTAACTTAATTCACACCCTAGAAGGGTATTGCTATTTAATTTTTTTATATAATTTTTGTTATTTAGAAAACTGATAGTGTTGATGTTGTTGTTTTTAAGATTTTAACGAAAAGATGAAGATTTTACGATAAATTGATAAGACAAAAATTTACGTCATCGATTATGTTCCTAATAACCTAATTGTTTTTATTTTTGTTGTAAGGGAGGTAAGTGGATTGACAAGTCGCTGGCGGAAATTGTATCGTTATAAGTATGTTATCTATTGTGATTCACCCAATTTAATTAATAATTTAGCTGTATTATCATTTGTTGCAAAATAATAATTATATGAATTTATGTTGTGGGGTTTAATTATTTTTAACAAAACGTAGTTTAATTTTGATTTATGTAGGTATGTTTGAAAAAATAAAATTTTGTTTGTATTTATAGTAGCATTTTTTTTTCTGTTTACAGCGATGCTGTGGTGAGATGAAAAGCAAAGAGACGCTATGTGCCGCTTAAAGCGATGGACACATACGACTTGTTCGGGGAAGATGGATCTGGAATGTTGGAAGGTCTGCCCGAATTGGGTAGTGATCACTTCGACCCTGCGGTGACGGGAGCACGAAATGCAACATCGGCCTATACCCAGCCCACATACTCGCAAGAGACGCCTCTTCAAAAATTGGCTTCCTTTGGTGGTACAGATTTCAATCACATGGACCCTAACGCGCAAAGTATGTACGCTCAGGGATACGGCACGGACAGACCGATGGGTCCTCCAGGAGGTGCCTATCCTCATCAAAGACAAATGGCGAGACCACCAGCGCCTCCGCAAGCTGCCGCAGGAGCTCAGTATCCCTATCAAACGGACAATATGTACTCGATGCCAGATCATCAGCTAGGAAATATGGACGCTACTAATATGCAGCAATGGGGTCAGCATGCCGCTGCCGGATATCCAATGCATCGATATGGACAAATGGGTGGATACAGGCAACAGCCCATGCCAGGATATGGCCACCAGCAAGAACCCAAACAGCAGTTTCCACCTACACAACATCCCATGATGCAACAACCGCATCAAGCCAGTTATCAGATGCAACAAAGACACGCTCCGCATTATCCTCAAGCAGGTGCGGGATATCCGACAACAGCAGGTCAAGGTTACGGTAGTTACATGCATCAACGTTTACCCCATCATCATCAATATGGTCATCAATTAGATATGGAGGTCCCGACGCCACCTCAGTATGGACAAATGGGTCACGCCCAGACACTTGCCGGCCACCCATCGTCTCACAACGTTCCAACATCCGGACACATACCACAAGGTCCTCATCCAGGCCACGGTCCAACTCAAAGTCACCCAAGTGCTCAGCAATTAGCTGCTCAAAACCCAATGGTACATCCGACTTCCATGAGTTACAGTCAAACGCATCAGACCATGCAATCGATGCAAAGGCCTTTGGATGTTCAACCTCCCTCGCAACAATTTTCATCGAAACATTCTAATACGTTAGGAAATGCCAGTCCACAATACAGGGCTCCATTCCCACAATTATCTCCTCAAATGTCGCCAAGACCACAAATGTCACCCAGACCACCAGCTCCACAAATGTCGCCGAGACCGGTAATGTCTCCGGCGAAACCTAACATGTCCCCGCATCCACAAATGCAACAGACAACGTTAAGTCCTAGACCTGCGACTAGCCTTACACCGAAAACAACAACAGCGTCTCCTGCTCCAATACCGGCTTATTCGCAACAAAGTACTTTGCAAGCCTTGGAGCAAATGGTCATGCCGCCGTCTAGTACAAATGCAACGGAATATCCGACTTATCAACAACAAAGAAACACTCTCGGGCCACCACAAACTCCCCAAAATCCTCTCTCGCCCGCCATGAATATGAGGAATCAAATGGCGGAGCAACAGCAATGGTCGCCACATCCACCGAGACAATCCACGCATGTTTCTAATATTAACGGCCCTCAAATGAACGTTATGGACCAAAATCAATTGCCACCCACGAGTCAGGCCATTCCTTCGTCACAAACACTTCCACCTTCGACGGCTTTACCAAATCCTAACGTTTCAACCGATTCGAATTTAGCAAATTTTGGTAATAAGGATTTGCGGACTGACGTCAGCAAACCGTCGATATCGATGTCTGAAATACCGACATCGCAAGTACGAGAACCAACACCTCAAAACGTAAACGTTAGCTCACAAAATGACTTCAGCTCAGTACAGTCACCTACTACCACTTTACCCGACAAATTTCCCACTAGTACGACGAACACTGATTTGAATCTACCAACGTCTGGTAGTAACACTGTGTCGTCACATCCACCAACTCCGACACCGTCTTCAACTACAGATGATAACGTAACTAATACCCAAGAGGCGAGTCTTCCTTCAAACGATTGCAGTAAATCACAAGATGAAGTCAGTAACACAAATTCGACTCAACAACCCACTCAAAGCCAAACCAATACAACGAATAGTTTCACCGACTTTAATTGTGTATCCAGTATGTCAGGATATCCAAGCCAACCAACTCCACCTAAAACGAATAATATGGACGATTTGGTTCAATCAAACGTGCCAATGTTTAGTCAAGATAATTCAGTCTCACAAGATTCCATACCGGAAATGAATAAAGAACTCAGTAATTTACAACCGACACAAACACAAACATCTATTAGTTTACCAACTTCGGCTACTCAAACTAACGTGAGTCAAACTCAGCAAAATCACATGCAACCATTGACGAGTCAACCACAACAGCCACCTGCAGTACAATTAACGAGTAACTCAATGCCTCCAATACAAATCATGCCTAATGCTCAACAACAACCCCAGCCTATACATAATCAAGGTCAAACGCAACCTATGCAAGGTCAAACAAATATTCCAACAAGTAACATGACGGGAATGCCTCCTCAAGGGAACATCAATGTTCCTTCAACGCAAGTCCCTCCAGTACCACCTCATGGGCAAATTCCACCTGTTCCTCAAGGTGGTAACATGCCGCCTCATACAAATATCCCGAATATGACACCCAACAATCAAGCGCCGGTTATGTACGATCAGAATGCAACCATGTTGGGACCTAACGGTATGCCAATGGGAGCGCCAAGAGGAATGGGTCCGGGGTTACCTCACGGGATGCCACCGATAGGTCATCCGGGCATGACAATGAACATGGGTCATCCCATGATGCCCAACATGAATGCTGGACATGGCATGATACCTGGTTCTGAAATGGGATACCAACCACCGATAAGTCACCATCAGGAAAGAGCAGCATTACAACAACAACTGCAAGAATTGTATTGTATGCCGCCGGCTCCAGAACATCAAGAAAAAATCGCACATCTTCAAGAACGACTTAATATTTTAAGTCAACATGAAGCAACCGAACAGTGTAATGGAGGTCCTCAGTGTGTCTTACAAAGTCCACTTTTTACGTCTCCTATGATCGATAGCCCTCAAGTAACGAGTACGACTGGAAGAGGGCGCGGTAAAGGGGCACCAAGGACGAAGAAACCCAGACAGAAGAAAGGAGAGAAATCAGTTTCGCCTGTTCATATGTCGCAAAATATTACTATGATGATGCCTTCTCAGCAACTTCCAGTGTCTGAAGATTGTGTAACTCCAGGTGCCGGGTTGAATATTCCATCCAGTGACATGTCGGAAATGACTGAATTGTCCGTCGACCCGCTAACGGGTGAATACGATGATAAAAAGAAACTCAAATCGCAGAGGAAACCTCGAGAACCCAAGAAACCGAAAGAACCCAAAATTTCCAAAGATGGTAAAGGACCGAAGTCACCCAAAGATAAACTTTCTAAAGAAAGGAAGAAAAAGGAACCCAAAGATCCAAAAGTTAAAAGAAAGTACGTTCGTAGGAAAAAATTGGAAGGTTCAGAGGAAAGTGCGACAGATGAGTCGTTTAATAAGACTTATGATAACGAACATCAAATGATTTCGTCAGAAGTTTCAGCTGAAGAACACGGAGATGATTCCAATACGCCAGATTCAGGTGATATAATTGAATCTGTTAATATTCCCACAGAAGAAATGCAAGCTGATTCTTCTCAACCGGCCGAAGCTATCGAAATTGAGACGAAAAAAGATGAATATGCATTTGAGGATCAACCAGCCAGTCCTCAAGAACTCGGTGAAATTCCAAGAAAGCATAGAAAAACGAAACCAGGATCTAAGAAAGTGATTTCCACGAAAGCAAAAGCCAAAGGTGGTTTGGGAAAAACGAGAAAACGTAAAGGAATGGTTCAAGAGTCTGATGGTGAAGGTGAAGATCTCGCTAGCACGCCTCCACCTTCTCCACCTGAAGATCCTGAAAATGCCATTCATAAAAGACGATCGGCGAGAAATACTCAACGAAAGAAATACATAGATGATGTTATGTTACGATTTTCGGATGATGAATCTCCTGTAGTACCTAACAAAACAAAGAAAGGTGCACTTCCATCGACTCCTCCAGTGTCTTTGTCTCAGGGTGTTGAAGACAACTCAGGTGATGGAAGTAACAAAATGAATTTTGTTTATGTTAATACGACCGATGAAGATTCCATGGTCGTTCAACATATTTTAACATCCAGAATAACGAAGAAGCCTAGAAAAGTTGAAGGAGTTGTTGAAATTAAATCTGAGGAGGCAAAACCACAGGAAGGTGGAAAATCCGAGGAAGTCGATGTTGAAAGTAAGGAAGAGGAGACTGAGGAAAAACCAAAAGCCGAACCGAAAGCCGAGGGTGAACAAGGGGAGGAGGACGATCCAGAAATGGTCGATGTTGAAGAGTATTACGTAAAGTATCGTAACTTTTCGTATCTGCATTGCGAGTGGAAGACTGAAGAAGAGTTGTATAAAGGTGACAAAAGGATAGCAAATAAGATAAAACGTTTCAAACAAAGACAGCAACAAAATGTAAACATTTTCGAGAATTTGGAGGACGAACCGTTTAATCCTGATTATGTCGAAGTAGATAGAGTATTGGATGTTGCAGAACACACAGAACCGACCACTCAGGAAGTCGTTAGACACTATCTGGTTAAGTGGCGAGCGTTACAATACGAGGATTGTACCTGGGAATTGGAGGAAGACGTTGATCCTATTAAAATAGAACAGTTTAAGAAATTTAGACAAATTCCACCAAAAGATAAATGGAAACCAAAGAAACGACCTAGTCCTGATCAGTGGGTAAAACTGGATAAATCTCCGATTTACAAAGGAGGAAATAGTCTAAGAGAATATCAATTAGAAGGATTAAATTGGTTACTTTTCTCATGGTACAATGGAAGAAATTGTATTTTAGCCGACGAAATGGGTTTGGGAAAAACCATTCAAAGTCTCACTTTTCTTAACGCTGTTTGGGAATATGGTATCAGGGGACCTTTTCTAGTAATTGCACCTTTATCGACAATACCCAATTGGCAAAGAGAAATCGAAAGCTGGACCGAGATGAACGTCATAGTTTATCATGGATCTGCAGCTAGTAGAAATATGATACAAGAATACGAAATGTATTTTAAAAACGACAAAGGTCACCACATAAGGGACCTAACAAAGTTTAACATTTTGATTACGACTTTTGAAATAATTGTCACAGATTTCGCCGATTTGAAAGGTTTCAATTGGAGAATCTGTGTTATTGATGAAGCTCATCGTTTAAAAAATCGTAACTGTAAATTATTGGAAGGATTGAGACAGTTAAATTTGGAACATCGAGTTTTACTCTCGGGAACACCTTTACAAAATAATGTCAACGAATTGTTTTCTCTCTTAAATTTCCTCGAACCGCAACAGTTTCCCAGTTCGGAATCTTTCTTGCAAGAATTCGGCGCTTTGAAAAGTGAACAAGAAGTTCAGAAATTGCAACTTATACTAAAACCAATGATGTTGAGGAGGTTGAAAGAAGACGTGGAAAAATCTTTAGCGCCAAAGGAGGAAACGGTAGTTGAAGTTGAGTTAACGAATATACAGAAAAAGTATTACAGGGCGATTTTAGAAAGAAATTTTTCTTTTCTTTCTAAAGGAACTACTCATGCTAATATTCCAAATTTAATGAACACGATGATGGAGTTAAGAAAGTGTTGTATTCATCCGTATCTACTAAACGGAGCAGAAGACCAAATCCAGTATGACTATAAGATGGCTCAAGGTGAAGATCCAGATGCTTATTACAAAGCCTTGATTAATTCGAGTGGTAAAATGGTTTTGATCGACAAACTTTTACCAAAACTGAAAGCCAACGGCCATAGAGTGTTGATTTTCAGTCAAATGGTTCGTTGTTTGGATATTCTGGAAGATTATCTCATGTTTAGAAAATATCCATTTGAAAGAATCGATGGACGGATAAGAGGTAACTTGCGACAAGCTGCCATCGATAGATTTTCTCGACCTGATTCGGACAGATTTGTCTTTCTTTTGTGTACTAAAGCTGGAGGTTTGGGAATTAACTTAACAGCTGCTGATACAGTAATCATCTATGACAGTGATTGGAATCCACAAAATGATCTTCAAGCTCAGGCCAGATGTCATAGAATCGGTCAACAAAAAATGGTCAAAATTTATCGATTACTATGCCGAAATACATACGAGCGGGAAATGTTCGATAAAGCTTCTCTTAAACTTGGACTAGATAAGGCTATCTTGCAAAGCATGAATACGTCACAAGGAGGTAAAGATTCTGGGAGTAAACAGTTGAGTAAAAAAGAAATTGAAGATTTACTCAAGAAGGGTGCTTATGGAGCATTGTTAGATGAAGAAAATGACGGAGATAAGTTCTGTGAGGAAGATATTGATGTTATTTTAGCCCGACGAACCCAAGTTATTACCATGGAGTCGGAGAAGGGGTCAACGTTCTCAAAGGCGAGTTTTGCATCGAGTTCGAATCGATCAGATATCAGTATTGACGATCCAGACTTCTGGAATAAATGGGCAAAGAAGGCTGACATCGACACGACTGAGAAAGACGAAACTGAGGATCTTGTTCTTTCGGAGCCTCGAAGACGTACCCAAATTAAACGTTACGGACACGACGAAAGCGCCATCGATATGTCCGAACTCGAAAGTTCATCCGATTCTGATTTGGACAACGAGGGTTTGAGTTTGGGAATAAGGAGTCGGCGAAGTAAACTGAAAAAGAAACGGTTACGAGGTGACGACTACATTCCAAGAGAAGGTGATAGAAGCGACATCGTCTATGGAAGTTGGGCGAGGAGGGAATGTTTCATGGTCGAAAGAGGTTTGTTGACGTTTGGATGGGGACGATGGTTGGAAATTTTACAACACTCCCAATTGAGGAAAGGCTGGAGAGAACAGGATGTCGAAGATTGTGCCAGAGTTATAGTAAGTTTCAAGGATTTTTGTGGTATGATTAATAATTATTGATTTACAGTTGCTGTACTGCCTGCGATTCTACCGAGGTGACGAGAAAATCCGAAGCTTTATTTGGGACTTGATAGCGCCTTCTGAAAATGGTGAGCAAAAAATTTCGAGGAACCATCACGGTCTAAAAGATCCTGTTCCTCGAGGTATACGAAACAAAAACAAGAAGAAGGGGAAGGACAATAGGCATGCCGCTCTGACTGATCCCAATCATTGGAGCAAAAGCGAGAAATACGATGGCGATATTTTCCTTGAAAGCAACTACAAGAAACATCTTGGAAGACATGCCAACAAGTGAGTATTTATCCCGCGAAATCAAAAACATTGGATAATGAGATGTGATTTACATCACTCGATTCGTTCATGTTACAACTTTTATCTTCGCAATTTTTTAAATAAATAATGAAGATATCTTTATACAAATAATCAATAAATGTGAATAATACATTACATAAAATGTACAGGTAGTAATCATATACTTAAGTGGAAAATATTTTTCCTACGACCATATACGAAACTAGATCATAACGCACAATTACATATGCGCGAAAATTGGCAATATCGTACGAGGTCGAAAACCTGTGCGATTTGTTTTCGCACTGTGTTAGAAATCTAACGCACAATTCACACTCGAATGTTTTGTATTTTTTCATTTAACATATTTTTTTTTGTATCCATTATAAAAAATCAATCGTTATGAAATAAAATGTTCGTAAGAAAAAAATTATTTATGGTCGTAGGAAAAATAGTGTACAAAACTTGCAGGAAAGTGTCTAGCGCACTCGCGGTATTGCCTGCACTCGGCTAACGCCTCGTGCGCAACTTTCCCGCTTGTGCGTTATTTATCACTTTCCGTGCTCGTTATGTAATATACTATTTCTAATCATGTTATACATAACGAGCACGGAAAGTAACAAATAACTCACAAGTGGGCCCCTCGAATGCGTTAGATACTTTTCAGCGAGTTTTATACACTATTTTTCCTACGTTACTGAAAAAGTCATTGATTACAAAAAAAAAATATTTTTCAAACTCAATAAAATTAATGGTCAGATTATGAATTTGACGATTATTGTAATAATATAATACAAAAACCCATGGAAAGTGTTATAGACTTACCAAAATCCGTTTGTAGCTCACAATTTCGTTAGGTTATAACAGGGTGTTATAATAACGTGAAGCAAACATACCCGATAACAATAAACTATTACGTAATAGCCGTGCGTTATAATAACGCACGATCTTTGAATGAAATTGTCAACTTTCATGCCTACTCAATTGTGTGAAATTGACATCTTTCTTATAGTGTCGTAGGAAAAAGAATTTATACTTTTTTCAACCCTTTTCAGTTAAGAAAGTTATTCAATCTTGAAAGTGTGGAGTAAGTATCTAATTTTCTCCATAACTGTCATTCTTAAGATTAGAAAAAGTATAGTATTAAACTTGTGAGAAATTGTCATTTCCACGTAGATGAATTACTCCACTCACCTTCCGTTCATATCCTAAATTTCATCTTCTAGAAATGGCCAACTTTCTCATTCGTTGAATAATAAACTATACAGGTGGTCCCACTTAAGACTTTCGGATCTAATATCTCTATTATTTACTAACGGATTCTAACAAAATTTAAAATGTAAAGTATTTAGTAGGTAGAGATTAACATAGCATTACTAAAACAACCCTATTCCTTAAAATGTTATTTTAACATGCCTTTTAAAAATGTTAAATTACTTAAACTTTATATCAAATTGTTAATCGCCAACAAAACATGCTATAAGCAAAAATTTGTCTTTGAAAGAAGTCCCGCTTTCAAGAAAAGAAGTATTAAAATTAAATTAATTATTAAAGAATTAAAATTTTAAGTAATCTAAGTAATCTACATTTTAAATTTCATAAAAATTTATTGGCAAATAACAGAGATATTAAACCTTTCTTAGGTGGGACACCTGTATATGAGCTAAACATAATTTGAAAGCTAAACGAAAAAATATTTAAGAGATTTACTGATTTGGCATATGCGTAGGATGAAATTAAATTTCTCACAATTTATTACGTGATGTTAAACGAAAATATTTTGGCGATATGACTTTTATTTGACAGTTTAATGGCAGTTTCAATTTAATCAATTGTTCCGTGTGGGTAGCTGATGTGCATAAAAATGAAAAATTAAGTAAAAAAATATTTCCATGTAAAAACAGCTTAGTTGTTTTATGATGAGCACCATGCTAATTTCGAAAATACGTAGGTATTTTATGAAAAGAAAATTTCAAACTGCTGAATGTCCGGAACAAAGTTAATAATTTAATGATAATATAGCTGTTTTACCAAAAAAATTTATGTATTTTAGGGTTCTTTTGCGCGTCCGAATGCTTTACTATATCAAGCATGAAATAATCGGCGATCTTGTCCAACACATCGCTGACGGAGTTCATGCAAGGTAAGTTTTTGTTTAAAAATTTCTTTAAATTAATTTCTAGAAATATGCCGAGATACATTTTAAGCTTTTCACCGAACGAATCCAGGTAAGCCACGAATTGAATGCTCAAACTGTATCTTGGCCTCACATTTTTTATTTAATATTGTTGGGAATCAGCCTTGCTTTTGTTTAACATGTATGCATGGTCCCTGCTTGAGGTCATGCTAGTGCTTTTAGTCAGACATGTTCATTGTTTTTATGATTTTTTTAAGAAATCAAATCAAAATTTGATTCACACAGCTTTATCGCTTATTCTTAACATTCATTCATTTTGTTATTAACACTAATTATCCGATTATTGGTTCCCAACCCCTCGTTTACGAGTAATAATTTGTGCAACGGTACGGCACTCGACTACTAAATTATGACTTTAATAGAGAACAAAAAAAAAAGAAACACACAAAAATAATGTATTTTTATGACATTATTCTTGTTTGAATTTAAAATTTAAGCGAAATGCTTTAATTCGAGTTAAATTAAAGTAAAGTGACGAGCGTTGTCTCAGTCTATTTATGTTCAAAATTGACAATTGGCGACGTGATCCACAGTGCCTTGCCGATAAACCCTCCCGTAACGGAGCAAATGCCTAGCGAGTGGTGGGATACGGAATGTGACAAGTCTCTGCTCGTGGGCACTTGGAAGCACGGCTATGAAAACTATATGGCGATGCGTGCAGACCCCACCCTCTGTTTCCTGTCCCGCTGCGGCCCGCCCTCAGATCGAGAGCTCCAGATGGCAACCTCTAACACGCAACCCAATACGCCTGCACTGTAAGTAGTTCCGTTTCGGCTAGAGCTCCACCGTCATCAGGCTCTAGGACTTTTTTTTTGTTTTTCTCTATCTTGCTCACTGCTCTTGACTAACTCTATGGCCACCCCACAATGATTTAGCGACAGGAGTACTCACTTTTTTTGTACCATTTGCAAAATGTTAAGCTTTCATAGGTTTAGTCTAACTTTATTTTTAATGGCGTTAATGCATGATCTTTGTTGTAGTCGAAATGTAAGGTAAGAGTTTTGTTTTTCTAGATGTCGTGGATAGAGATGGGAAATCGACAAATATGGAAATTTATTTATTTATCTTGTGTTATTTGGTTGATTTTTTCTATTGTAACGTACGAAAATTACAAAATAAATCTTTTGTAGCTGCAGATATTGGTGCATATAATCAAAGTAATTTAGATGTTGCAAAAAAAAACACTAGGACTTTTTTAGATTAAGACATTTCATATGGTTTCAACTATCTTTGTTAAATAATTAAATAATGTTTTAATTTATTCGAGTGTTTTAAGATTAATTTAATTAATTGCTAAATTTTGTTTTGTTATAATTTAAAATTACACAAAATGTATTGTCTAACCGCAGGGAAGTTAAAATTTTAAAGGTTTTTTTCATTGATTTCTTTTTTTAAATAAAGAGGTTTTTTCAAGTTTTATTCTATTCTGTAACTTTCTAGAACTGAAGCTAAGTTATTTTTCAATTAAGAAACAAATAAATTAATACACAAATTGAACAAAAAACTGAGGAATTTGCAAAATAAATTGTTAGTTAACTTGCTTTATGTCTTGAAAATTTTATAATATTGCAATGTTTACAACAGACAAAAATATAATGATAGTCTATTATAAAAATAAGCATACAGTACATAAAAAGATGAATAAATTTAGGTCAAACATTTAAAAGTTGATTATGTTTTAATAAAGTATGTTTTTATTAGTTTTATTAGTTTGTTTTGTAATGATTCATTAATACAGGGTGATTAAAAAATGTCGGATCATCTCTTGGGTGGTGATAAAGGACATCTGACTGAGTTAAAAGTTCCCATGACAATTTTTTTCACGAGATGTAGATAGCTCAAGTTTACTTGAATGTAGTTCGCGGAAATTGCAGATCTTGCAGCATTAAAAAAACCATCAATTTATATCTTACGGTGTATAAAACATTTAACAATTTAGCAAATTCAACAAGAAATTAAGTCCGTCAACATTTGAAACAAAATAGCTACGGTGCCTACATAAGGAAATTGACAGGTTTTTTTTTTTCAAAACAAAAGGCTTGAAATAAAATTTGAAGACATGTTTATGCTTAACTGAAAGTCTTGTATCACCATTCATGTCGGACATTGGTCCAACACCCTTTATAGTTATTTCTAGTATTTTTTAACATTTTTTGTATTTGCATTATTTTGTAATGTTTTAATTATTTAGTTTGTTTCTGCTTTTAATATCTGTGATCAATTATATTATTATTTATCAGGATTATTTTTGGTGAATTAAGTAGGTCCATATTTGTTGATTTTTAAGCAAACTTTAAAAACCTTTAGATTGTTTTATTTTTAACGTCCAATTTTTATTCTTTTTTTAGCAATGATGACGATTTAGACGACGACGACACTAACGAGGAATTGAGTCTGAAGTCTAAAAATCGCGATATTTCTGAAGTAAATTCCGAAGGAGCGGAACCTTCACCAGGTCCATCTGCATCATCTGAAACGCAACCACCTGACGGCGACGGTGATGATTTAGATGACAAACCCACGTGGCCGACAATAACCGATCTAAACACACGATTACGACGAGTGATCACTTCGTATCAAAGAAACTACAGAAAAGAAGAACAAAAGCTTGCTGCTGCTAAATCTAAGGTATGTTATGTCGTATTATTTTGGCTGCTATCGAGAATTTAGTGTAAAAAAAATATTAAAGTAACTCATGACATGTTCATTATGAACCTTGTGGTTAAGATTTTCTTTCTTTTGTCCATTTGTATTTTTTTGTAAATGTGCTTCTGCGCTTGTGTACATAAATGTAGAGTTTTTCTCAGTCATAACATTTTTTTTATTAAGTTCTATATTACGACAAATATGAATTTTGATTCTAAATGATTGAAAGAAAAAATTCATATTTGTCGTGGATTAATTGTCATCAACCATTTTACTGTGCACACGCATGAAAGCGTGCTGGCTGTTCGGGTAGTATGTAGTATGCACTGTGCAGCCCTCGATAGAGCCTGCCCTGTCCTCCCCCTTGGCTGCCCTGGCTCAAGTGTCCCAACAGTTTGACGTGAGGGAAGCCGCCGCACTCGGTTTACAAGGATGGGACCTACAGCAGCTAGCACTCTACCTGTTGGTTAGTATAAAATTTATAATTTTTATTTGAATCATTGTAGAACTCTTTATTTCAAAATTTCCATAAAAAATGTACTGATTTAAAAAATTAATTTAAAAGTATGTAGTTGCTAAATTATTTCCCTCCTGTGTTGAAATTTTTGATGATTAAATTCTTTTATCCTCCTTTTACGTTATCTCTATTTAATCGTAATATACAGTAGTTATAAATTGTTTTATTCTAATTATCTACGAAGTACAGGTAAGATTATTGTTTTACCTCATTCTGAATGTTTTTCTTTGATGTAATTTTGTGTCATTTGATGAAAACTTGAAGGAATACTCTTAAATGTTTTGTCAGAATTCACATCAATTTATATTCCATACAAATTTTAAATAAAATAAAACATAGAACTCCTGATTAGTTTATTTTTTCAAAATCTGCATAAAACTTAACAAATTGATGCTCAACTATTGTTAGATGGAGAGACAAGGCAAGCAAGCCATGGAGCACGCTTTGCGAGAACGAGATAGAGAACGTGAACGTGCTACAATCGCTAAACGGTGGACGAAACGAGAAGAAGCCGATTTTTTCCGTGTTGCATCTTCGTATGGTGTTATATACTACAGGAAGAAGAAATCTTACGATTGGACTAAATTTAAACAGCTGGCCAAATTGGAAAAGAAAAATGATGATGAATTAACCGAATATTACAAACATTTTGTTATGATGTGTAAAAAACAAACGGGAATTCATTCCGAAGATGGAAGTTACGACACTACCATCGAACATATTAGTGAAGAAAAAGCAAGGCGTACGTTGGAACGACTAGAACTTTTGTCGAGGATAAGAGAAGAAATAATTACACATCCGAAATTAGACGAACGTTTAAAGGTTTGTGTTACTTCAGCTGATATGCCTGATTGGTGGATCGCTGGAAAACATGACAAGGATTTATTGCTGGGAGTTGCAAAGTGAGTAGTTTGATAATTTTGTTTTATTACTTTACATTTGTTTATTTGTAGACACGGTCTTGGTCGGACTGATTATTACCTTTTAAATGACCCGGATTTATCCTTCCAAGAAATACTACGTAAAAAGGTTCATTCGGAAGCTTTAGCTGCCGAAAATAAAGAAGCAATTAAACTCGAAAGTCACGAGGATATTCTTAAATTTGACAAAGACGAGATTCTGGTAAAACTCGAAAAAGGCGAAGGTACTTTGAAGATTGAAAAAGTTGCCGTCAAAAAGGAAAATACCGAAGAAAAAGAAAAGAAAGTTGAGGAGAATAGTAAGGTTGAATTGACAATCGTCAAAAATGAGAAAGGCGAATGTGAGGAAAAACTTAAACCTGAGGAACCGGAAAAAACACAAGTCGAAGAAGAAAGTACTGAGGAAAAAAATGAAACTCCTGAGGTAACAGAAGAACCACAACCTGATACGTCCGAAGATAACAAAGAAACATCTGAAACTAAAGAAGAAGAACCTAAACCGGTTGAAGAAAAAGAAGAAGTAAAACCTGAGGTCGAAAATAAGCAGGAAACTGAATCCGTTTCCAATGAAACTGTCGAAGAGAAACCTGCATCTTCAGATACTCCAGTAAATAAAGTCGAAGAAGAAGTGCCAAGCGAAGTCAAGGAAAAAGTCGAAACTAAACCTACAAAAACACCACTGGAAGAAGAATCAGACCTTTGTTCTAAACAAGCAGCCGAACTCAAAGCCATGTTCCCCGACTTGGAAGTCATCCAACCTTTATCTCGTCTTTCTCAAGTCGATACTTTTGTTTTAAGAGACAAACAAGGCACTGGTGCTTTAGATTTCAGCGAGACTACCGTGGCTCAATTGTTTAATAATGCGGTAAAATGGCCTAAAGAGTACGCGATTCAAGTCCGACTTCAGCACATTATTTATGCAATTGAAACAAAAGAATGGCCAGCAACGAAGAATTTCTCGGCGTATGCTACAGGCATCGGAAACGAATTTGATATACCGATTCATGAAATACCGAACGATCCACCTAAACGCGATTCTTCGACTCCGATGTCGTTAGGAGACGAAATGATTTCGATTAGTGAAAGAAGCAATTTGAATAAGAAGCGAAAACGTCATATTGCGATCGATGTTGAAACTGAGAGAGCAAAATTACATGCGTTGTTAAATAGCAGTCATTTGTCTAATCCCAAACATGGGTTATCATGGGATGAGGATTCGGAGGATTCGAGGAGATCGACACCCGTTCAGGGTAATCTTCAACCGCCGCCGGCACATCAACAGACAGGGAGGTTGTTAAACATGCCGTATGATAAATATTCCGCTAAAACGATTGGACAAACGACAGTTATTCCAGGAACTAGTAGCACTTTGACGCCTATTGATTTGAGTTCAAGGTAATTAAATGTGAATACTGTTTGGAATTGTTAATATTTTGGATTTTTAGCATACAAAAATCAGGCGATAAAAATACCATGGACTTGCAAAATGAGGTTCAGGACTTTTCGATGCCGTCGAAAAAGCAATCCGCTTTGGGGGGAAAATCTAGCAACAAATTAGACGATACTTTATCGAAGTTAATGAAGAGGAAGAATTGCGTAAGTAACTGAATTTTGTGTTCTTTGCATTTTTTGAAATTGTAATAATAATATTTTTAGCCTGTGGAAGAACCCGTTGTCGGCAAGGAAAAGAAACGCCGTAAACTCGACGAGATCGTCCTTGGTCTGTCAGCAGCGAAAGAGCAGTCTCTGTTTCCTGAATCATCGAAAAAACCTACCGTAACACCCAGTGTAACCGTAACTCCCACTTCAGCCCCTGTAAGCTCCTCCCATAACATGTCCCAAAAACCGTTCACGATAACCGTAACTTCTGTCCCTTCTTCAGCTTCCTCGTCCCGTAACAGTTCAATCCCGAACATTCTCCCTTCGAGTATGTCATCTTCAAGCACGTCGAAAGACAGTTTTTCATCATTACTTGCCCAAGCCGAGCAGCAAAACCTCCTGTTGAAAAAACAACAACAACAGAGGAAGAGTTACGAAGCGATGATCGCGGATATAGGTAGTTCTAAAGTAAATTCGTATTCACATGAAGCTAAAGTTAATAAATGGTTAGCGGAGCAGAATGCTGCATTGGCCGAACAGCCTCTGGGAGCTGATTACTTATCGCCGAGAAGACGCCGTCCGAGGATCGATCCCACGTTGTTGGATTGGAAGAAACTCACAGGGGATGAAAACGTCTCAGTCATACATAGAGTGTCTGGGAAGAAGTTGACAGGTCCGAAAGCACCGACCTTGAAGCGGTTAGGACAATGGTTGGTTGAAAATCCGATGTATGACATTGATCCGAAATGGGCCGAATTGGTTAAAGAACGGGGGAATTTGAGTCACGATTTGCAAAAACGCGTTCCTGGTTCATCAAGTTCGAAGAAGACTCAACCTGGAAGACCACCACTGTTGTCGAGTCCAACCGGATCCACTTCGAGTGTCAGTTCTGCCAACATAAGTACGTCAATTCCGTCAAGTTTGTCGTTTCCGACATTGAGTGCAAGCGGTTTGAGTGGGATTAATTCGAATTTATTGTCGGGATTATCTGGGTTGGGGCAATTTGATCCTAAAAACCCATTGTTGATGCCTTTTGCTGGTTTGCCGAATATGAATGCCTTGAATTCGATGGGAAGTTTGGGGAATTTGTCTAATATGAATTTGTTTGCAAATTTGGCCGGGTTAGGGTTGCCCGGATTGGGTGGTATGGATGCTACTAGTTTATCAAGTGAGTCGAAAAATTCGAGTAAGAGTAGCAATAGTAAACCGCAAAAGCCTCAAGAAGCACACAGTAGTAGCAAATCGCAGCCTTCATCAAGTAGTAGTTCGATTCCGACTACGAATCCGTTTCCTTTCTTTTTCCCGAATCCGAGTTTATTGTATACACCTTTGGGTTTGGGTGGTTTGAATCCGTTTACTCTTCAACCGGGAATGTCTGCGGCTTATGATACTTTGGCTCAACAGTGTGGTTTGTTGAATGGTAGTTTGAATCCGTCTGCTTCGCCTAATTCATCTATGAAAACAAGCAAATCGAGTAGTTCGTCTAGACCGAGCTCTTCGTCGACTGTAACAACAGCAACAACCTCTTCGTCGAGTATGAAACCAACGAGAAGTAGTCGGGAAGCACAATTGCAACAATTACTACTTCCTCCTGATACACAAATTTTGGAAAGTATATCAAAGGCAGCGAGTTCACTCGATGCCAGTTTAAAACAATCAAAGAGTGATAAAAAAGAAGATAAGCGAAAAGCTCTCGAAAGTTTACGAGGTATGTTACCTACTGATTTCACAACGTCTCCTGATAAGTACAAGGATAAGAAAAGCATCCCCGGATTGGCCGATTTCACAAAATTATTAGAACAGACTGGTGGTAGTAGTAAGAAGTCACAAGACCAACAAGTGAAAGAAGCTATAGAACAATTGAGTAAAACAAATCCCGATTTGAGTACGAAACCAGCAAGTGAGGAAAACTCAAAGCGACCTCGTGATTCGTCCGATGGATCCGAATCCGTTGAGGAAAACCCCCCTAAAAAGTCGAAAGAGTCTCCGTCTCCTCATCCCGAGAATGATCAAGAAGGCGTGGATATCGAGACACTCCTCCCACCGTCGACAGTGGTAAAGACATTGTGTGTTAACGTGGAGAAAATGCAAGATAAGAAGGAGGAGGAAAAGGCGGGACAGATTCCGCCGCAGCCACCGGTCAAAGACTCAGGAGTGGAGGAAAAGAAGGAGGAGGCGGCAGCAGCTCCAGAAGCCCCGCCTGAGAGTCCGCCGAAGAAGAGCACAAAGCGAACCCGAGGTAAGAGAAAGTCGGGAGAGTTGCCGCCGATCGATCCGGAGGCGATTATCGAAAAGAAAAATTTACGGTCGAGTGCTAGTCGGTCGGCAGCGGCAGCAGCTGCACGGGCGGCTGCGGAACAAGCGGCCGCCAAGCAAGCGGAAGCTGAAAATGCACAAAAACTGCAAGAAGGTAGTGAAAGTGCATCATAAATACCAAAAGTGTAAATTTGTGACAAATTGTGGGTATTTGGTGGACTGTGATACATTTGAACTCGACTGGTGTAGTGAATAGGATCATAAGTATTGCTTTGAAGGTAGTTGATGGAACTGAATAATTACGCTTCAAATATTATGTATTCCCATATTAATAACAATGAATATTTTTAGGGTATAATTACGCTAGCTTAAAGTTTTGATGAAATTGTAATCAAACTGTAATAAGATTTAAAAAGTTAACGAAAGTTGCATCAGAGAGACTCGAATGTTTTCTAAAAAAAATTGTAGGAACGTGGGGAAACTGTCAAAGTGATAAAATGCTCCTACTTGTAAATCTTTTTAGTGTTTTATTTATGGGTTGATTATGTTATGTAAATTCGGTCGTGACTTTATTTTGGAGTTAGGGCTTTTATCAACTGACGCAGTTTCTGGGAACTGTATCGATATTTTTGACTCTTTTTTTTACAATTTGTACATATAATAAGTTAGGATTTTGCAACAATAAGTTTTTTTAATGATGCAGTGTGAAAAGTGTGTAAATAAACTTTAGTGTTTTTTTTAATTTCTTTTTTTATTTAATCAAATATGTATGTTAAATAGTGGTATAAGTCTGATCGATATTTATTATTATAATTTTTACATTGTCGCCCTGACTTACGTATTTATTTTAATTTTTTTTTGAATCTGCATTTAAGTAACTAGCAGTCAAATGCTAGAGTTTTAGATCTGTTTTCATCATATTCAACGTGTACAAGTATCATAGCATGGTAGCTCTCTCATTTATTGTTATAATGTTCATATAGATAATTAAACAATATAAATGAAACGATTACTTTTATTTTTAACAAAGTTGATATAAAATTGATGTCAACATACAGGTTCACAGTTTTTGGATCAGTGTAATACACACATCTTTTTATTTAGTTTCAGATTTCTAAAATTTTTATTGTTTGCAACCAGAAATACTAGCCTGAATTTACAGTTGCACACCAATCTATTTTAAATGGCGCTAAATTCGAATTAGAATAAATTTTTAGATTCTACTTTGTGTTACACAAATTAGCGGGTTATGATTTTTAATTCATGTCGGGATAGACTTTTTGCTTATTTACCTTTTAATTCAAAATTGATCTTGGTGAAACATTATTTAAGGTTATGTAATGAAACCCAGATAAATGTAAACAATTCTCACGTGTTGTTCCTTGGAGGTGCAGCGAAATGGCTTCAGTTGTATCAGTACTTAGTAAAACCCCAAATTTACTAAAAGAATTGACAAGAGTCCTACCCAGTGTGACTTTTCACGAAGTTCAAGATCCAGGTAAATTCGCTGAATAACACACAAATCCCTTTAAATGAACCATTTTAGAACATGATACCCAATTCAAACAGTCTGCAGTACTAGTCTGTGATTTCGATTTAGTAGGAAAATACTTGTATGACCTTCCCAACACCAAATGGATGCAAGGGACATGGGCAGGAGTTGACAAAATTATGCCCTTATTTCAAAACAAACCTTTGCCCTACCAAATAACAAGGTTTACTGGAGACCATTTTGGTAGAATCATGGGTGAATACGTTGTTGCCAATATCGTAAACCACGAACGGGATTTGTGTGAATTGAGGGATTATCAGCGGAAAAAGCAGTGGCACAAAGAGGGGAAAATTTGCGATTATCGTGTAATTTCGGATTTGACAATAGGGGTATTAGGTTTAGGCAACATTGGCAGCAGAAGTAATAACTAATGATCTTATGATCCCACAAAAAAATTTAATCTGTAATTGATTCCAGTTGGGAAAATATTGAATATGCTGGGGGCTAGAATTCTCGCATTAGGTAGACGACCAGCTCTACCAGCAGGGGACGATTACTCTCATGTTTCAAGATATCACACCAAAGAAACACTACCGTCTCTTTTAAAAGAGTGTGATTATATTATCAGTGTATTACCTTCAACGAGGGAAACTAATGGCTTGTTGGATAACGATATCTTAAAAAATTGTTCAGGTGACAGATTTAATAATTTGATTTGGTATTATTATACCAAATACGTTATTACGTATTTTTTAAGATAAGAAAAGTGTGTTAATAAATATAGGCCGAAGCAATACACTCTCTGAAAATTCACTGATAAAAGCAATTCAAAACAAGGTTCAAAGAGGTTCATTTATGATCAAACCAATCAAAAAAACGTAAATTTTACATTTCAGATAACAATCACACCACATGTATCAGGAATGAGTCGAGCTAAGGACATCGCAGAGCAATTTTCTAACAACTACAACTTGTACATAAATCAACAACCACTGCCGGCAGTTGTAGATATAACAAGAGGATACTAGACTTTAGTGAACAGTAACTTTATTCCATATAAATTAAAAAATGACACTATATACAAAATAAATACAAAATAAAGAATAGATTATGTATACTGACAATTACTGAAAACTGAGGCCGTATTTTTGTGTCACTTGTGGCGAATGCGTCGAAGCTACAGCCAGTAATAGAGGTACGTCATTAACTTCCAATTGGAGAGCGGATGTCAACTGTTCCATATTACAGAACTCTGTAGCCAACAGTAGTTCAGCGAGAGCTTTAGATCTTATGCAGAGTTCTTGAAGGGTCTGTTCAATGTGCATGAGGCACTGGAAACGATAATTAACAAGATTCAAAATAAATAAAAGACACTTACGTAATGTGGGGGGACTTTAAGTTTCCACATTTGGAGCAACGATTCCAACATGTTTGACACCAATTGAGACATGCCAATCCTGATCCCTGATGACCCCTTGTCAATGAGGAAAGTATGACTCGACATGAGCTGCACTTCCCTGCAAAAATAAATAAAATAAAAATTCAAGTTGGTATAGTAAAATCGTTTTCCTAAGACTTACTAAAATTTTTATTACTTTTACGTCAAATGCAGTATTGTTAAGAGTAAATCAGAGGGTAAACAAATCATAAATTAGTGGAACCCACCCGGACCCTGAAACAGGTCAGTTTTTAACAGGGCCGGATTAGTTACTTTCTTTTTGTCTAAAATACTTGAAACGTTTTAATAGTTTTTGATGTAGTTATTATTAAAGTCAAGTATTTTAAGAAATTTAAAAAAGCCAGGTGCTTATTAACAAGCTATTATTAAATAAAACTGATTTTTTTTAATAATAGCTTGGTAAAATTCTACCACTACTTTAGTTTTAAATACGGCTCTGTTTTATTCTCGTGGGTGCAGCAACACTTGCAAAGGGACGTGCCATTTATGGAGGGTTACAAATTCAAGCCATTGTTTGGTTAATCTCTTATAATGTGTCATAAAATTTTTAGTGGGTCTTAGGAAAACGATTTTACTATAACGAATGATTCAAATATACCAAGTGTCAGTGTTCGCAATAACGGCAACAGCTTCTTCAACCGGCTGATCTATAAGGGAATGTTGGCTCGCCAAGGCCAAATCACTCTTCAGTTTCGACTCCCATTTTTGCTTTGGTACCACTGGTCCTTGCAACACCATATCCGGCATATAACTATCACTAGCTGCCCTCATCAACGACGATGTATATCTGATAGGACTAATCATAGGTTTGTAAAATTTGGACCTGGAACACAACACTTTAGATCAAATATCACAAACCGAATCAAAACCTTACTTTGGCATTGGCAAATTGGTAACTTTCATCTTATAAACTGAGCAACTATTCGAAATTTTACGTTTAGTCTTCATCTCATCACAATTAGTAGTTGTATTTGGCACATGTTGATTAGATGAGTCCACATTTGATTCTTTTGTCTGCTTCGTGGAAGAGGGGACGAACAAATCACTCGTAAACTCCAATTCGGAGGCGTTGGAAGGCGTTTGCAGACCTTCGCCCTCGTCGTAGTCTTCGTCCAATTCGGGGTACTTTGAAATAATAGTATCACTCAGTTGAGACAAATCATCAAGTTTCAAACTTTTATCACCGAATTGTAAATTTGAAATTTCCACATTTTTACTCTTCATGTAATTTGACAAGATTTGGGGGTACTGCTGTAGAGTGAATTTGACACCAGAATAGCGGTACTTCGACTGGCTTTTCGATTCGTCCAGTTTCCGGTCTTCAGGGGGTTCACTTTGCGCCCGAGGGTATTTTTTCGATTTCTGTGATTCCCCGATTTCTTTCTCCACACGAGTTGACCACGAAGTGCTGGGTTTAATCAATGATTTGTCTGTGTTTTCGGCAAAATCGGAGTCGTCAAAAGTGTCGTCCTTCATGTGGCGAATTTGTTTGGAAAGGTCTAAAAATGTGGGTCGTTTTTTTACAGGTTCCTTCTTTATCCCTACTAGTTGTTCATTGTCACCCAAAACGAACACTACATCTCCAATATTTTCCGAAATTGATGGTTTGGTATCCGAATCATCGCTTCGCATTTGTTTTTCCATACTGACAATCGATGCAAAACTCTTTTGGTTATCCATTTGGCAGAGAACTGTGCTTTTTGGTACTCTACATAAGGTATTGACTTTTTTCACAATGTCGTCGTTGCTTGGAGGACATAAAATTGAGTCATTGGAAGACTCTTCAATTTTCACAGCCTGTAGAGAAGGATACAAAGACTCGGAGGAATCCTCTTCTGCTAATTTAGACAAATTCCCTAAGCACGTATGCGTCTTAATAAACCCCGGAGAAGCCTTAAACCCCTTGAACGACATTTCCAACTCGTTATTTTTACCCGAATTATTATTATTATGACACTTTTCGAAAAATTCTTTGTTAGAGTTCATAATTTCCTTGAGATGATCCTCATATTTTTTATAATTCTCTTTTGGAATGCATGAATATTCTCGACAGATTTTTTCAACAATTTTGTTTTCTTCTTGAACATCGGCACGAATTGGAACTCTCCTATCTACGTCACAACAGCGAATGAAATACGTCATAGAAACTAACAATTTCGAAATAAGATCTTTTTTATTCGTTCCAGTGATTATGGTTTGAGCTGTCTTTGTCGGATGGCCTACAGCCCCGAACAGATCGCTTAATTCGCCCCATAAGGGGTTGAACGGGTGTCTAGATTGCGAAGTATCGCTGGTCGAAGGCAAACACGTGTTGACCCAACCCAAGTGATATGTCAGCACTGCAGTCAGAAGAGTGCTCATGAAGCTGAAAACGGAGAAAAATTAAAGCAATGATAAATTGGGAATTTATAAAAAGTACTTTTTTTCACTACTAGCGGTAAAAAATACTATTATTTAGTTTGTCGAGAGGTTGTGAAGTTGTTTTTCTCTCCTAGTAGTCAATAATAATTTTCATTATGGACCAAGGGCTATAATGCATTAGAGGTGGGTAAATGCCAATGTTGGAAGGTTGATACAAATATTTCTAAAATATTATTATTGAAAACTATTACCTTCACAAGTGCTAACGGAAGTATTTCGAGAATTAATTAATTAATTGAAATTAATGCAAAATAGAACAAAAAGAGTTAAATTTCCTTATTAAAAACATCAGAATAACCCCAACTCTCCTAGTTCTGTCTATGTCGAAACTGTCAAAACAACAAATGGGTTTATTTCTGGTTAAAATAAAATAATTGCAGAAGCACAAAAATGATATAACCTCATAACACATTACGTCTGAGCCAACATTAGTCCAGTCACTAGAGTGTTTCACCCTACAAAAGGTGGGGTCGTAGTAATTTTTTAATATATTGTTAAGGTCTAGGATTTGGCAAAAAATCCAAGTTTTCGACCTCGAATCGCCATCTTGGATGAAAGGTACAAAAAATAGGTTTTTCAAAATTAACTACGCAGCGGTTGATTCTACGGCAAAAGTGTTCAGATAAAAGTTAAAGAAGACAAAATTCAAAATTTGTTGTATCAACATTTTTTTTGTAAGTCCAATGTGTAACGAGTTACAGCGGCGGAAATATGAACATTTTTCCCAAAAAATAGTAAAACTCCCCGTTTTCGACGGTGAATTCTGTAAGAACAAATTACACTTGTTCTTAATGTTTTTTCCGCACCACAAAAAGATTGTACAGCGATATTTATTTTAAATTACACTGATTTTTCTTGTTACATTTGTCGAACCACCATCTTAACTACATCGTGGTATAAACAATTAATTGATATTCCATTTTTTTTATAGCCATTGTACACCTATAATTTTTTTGCTAAAAAAATTGATAGTTTCGCCAGATAATAAGCGTTTCCAGACTTTTGGACCACTCTGTATATTTGGTCAAATTGTTCCGAAGTTATTACAAAAAAAAAACAAATTTTCATACCCACGCTCCGAGGGCTGTAAAATTCTTATCAGTAGAGATAGGACACGAGATATTATTTAAATTAGCATCGTTTTATAGGTCATTTTTGAGGTTCAAACATTGCTTCATATTTATGAATAACCCTATATGTAACAAGAAAAAATAGTGTAATTTGAAATAGATATCGCTGTATAAAAACATTAAAAACAAGTGTTAATTTAGAAAATGTGAGAAATTTTGTCTTATTTAACTTTTATCTGAACACTTTTGTTGTAGAATCAACCGCAGCGGAGTTTTATTTTGGAAAAACCGTTTTTTTGTACCTTTCATCCAAGATGGCAGCTCGAGCGGTCCTACCCCAAGGTCGAAAGCTTGGATTTTTTGTCAAGGCTTAGACCTTAACAACATATTATAAAATTATTACTACCCCACCTTTTGTAGGGCAAAGGCTGTTTTTGGCCCCTACTGACTGGACTACATGTCCATTAAGTAGAGTTATATTTTTCACCGTTGTATTTCTGGGTAATACATATGCGAGTAGTGAAAAAATATTATATAAAACACGGTAGAGAAGATTTTTATAGCCTCGCATGTATTATTTCCCTTGATGCTGCTCATCTCGGGAAATAAACAGCTCGGCTATAAAAAAATCTCTTCTCTACCTTGTGATATAATATACTATTTTCTCTACTTACAAATTAGTGTCCTTAATGTCGATATCTTCCAACAGCTCGCAAAAATCCTGCACGAACCTTTCAGCTGTAATAATCCTATTTTCACCAAACAAATTCTTCTTAATATTGAACGGGTCTGTCTTTAAAAATTTCGTAAAATTAAACAAATGAAAATCCCCACTATTTTCCGCCTCCTTAAGTCCACTACCACACGAACTCAGCGAACTGGTAGAACAACTCAAATCACCCCCAACTAAACTCTTATCACTAAATGCACTAATACTGTTGTAATTATCACAGCCATTTGACAGCGACAGCCACAAATTCATGGAAAGGTAAGAACCAGAGAGCAGATTGACTAGGTATTGGGCCGAGATATTCGCCAACTCCACCATCAATGAAGCGAAATTCTGCGACTTGATGTAGGCAACTTCGACGACTTGACGGGCCCGCCACAACATTGACTCAACAAGAGAGATGTGTTCCATCAGGAATTGACCCAGTTCCCTATTTTTGACAAAAATAACTAGTCAAAAAAATATCTATACAAACTAAAATTTGTTATGCTCTACTATTGTTTACTTTAAGTGATTAAACTAACTCTTCCTGTCCTGATGTGAGATGCAGAATGAGTGCCAGACCCAATTTGCTACTACGGTGGTGTCTCATGTGATCCCCCCCGTCCTGCACGGATCCGGAATTGGCGAGAGACTGCCCGGAGTTTTCCAGAGATGTGCTCGTGCGACGCAACCAACGTTTGTACAAGCTGCTACAAGACAACGATTTGGTGGAAGTACCTGCAATTTTGATGGATTTTGTGTAATGGGGCTTAAATAATGCAGGTTTGTTACCATTGTCACCATAAATGGATCCCCAGGACGATGGAGGCCCCGCTGTGAGGTTATTAAACGAATTATAACTATATCCGGAATCTCCGATTAAACTTGGGATTGACATGGATACACTGTTGGAGAGGGGGACATCCAATGGGACACTCTGAGGTCGTCTGCAAACTGAATTTTATCCAATGAGAAAATTTCCATCTTTTTGGAAACAATCTATAGCTGTTTATGTCCATAAAGTCTAATTATGTACGAATTACACACAAAGCTTTATCTTCGATTGTGGAATTAAGTTTCCTTTGCATACAAAATCAAAAGATGCGTTAAAATTTATGGAATCGACTGGAACAAAAAAATTTTGTTTATTAATTTTAAACAAATAATTACTAATGAGTATTAAAATAAATGTAAGAAGGAAAGTAAACCAAAATATGTAAAAATACATTTTTTTAAAAAATTATTAGACACTGATCTTTTGCTAATGTCTAAAAATAGAATTCAGTGCTAGAAACACACTGCAAGTAAGAACAATGTTGTAGGTAAATATGACCGACTTGCTATAAAATTTTAATGAAAAAGGGTGTCTATACAGAAAAAGAATAAGGTGTTATTGGTAATAAATTTTGTCCAATTTATTGAAATGAGCTCGAAGTTGATGTATGTCATAACTTCCTCTTTAGCTTTAGTTTCAAAATTGTTACTTTTTCAATTCGTTTCTCGAAAACGGTGCAATTAGACACATTAATTTAATTGGGTTCTTTTTCATTTATATTTATTTTGTATTCTTGTCAATTTCTGGCTAAAAATTAGAATTTGTTTAGGAAACCTACATTATTAAATGCGTCTAAATTTCAACAGTGGTCTTTTACGTCTTTAACCACCCAATTTACCCGTTTTTGTGTTGTTGTCTCTAAATTTTCTTAGGCTATTTTTTGAGAACGTTTAATGACATTGTTTTCAAATTAAATTATCATGAATGAATTTGCTAGTGGTGCTAAAGTTAAGACTGTTTGATATTTTCGCTTAAAAAACAGACTTTAGTAAATTTGTTAGTGGACTTTCTTTTATCACTTTGTGTTTAATTTACAGGGTGTTCCGTTTCTATTATCACAAGTAAGAGGTTGAGGAAGTCTAAATGCATCTTTAATTTAAAGGCCGATTCACACAAAAAGTGTCATTAATGTCATTCAAATTTAAATTACATCCATAATGACAAAAATCTATATGTTTGCCACCCTATGTTAATTACGTTAATTTTAAATACTTTTTGCTACCTCAAAAACTGGAGCATACACCACGGAATTGGGGTTCCGTTTTTATTGTTACAAATTTAAACAGGTGATAGAATATTAAATTTTAAGACAAAAGTTTACTATGAACATGTATCAAAAAATGTTATGTAAACGAGCTACACCCCCTGAAAGAGGTGCATTTTTTAATGGAGTTTTTCCACTATTGCAGAATAGATAGAATTACAAAAGTTGGTACAGCTGATAACCTTTAATCACCTGAACAAATTCAAAGATCAGTTGTAGAAATTTTTTAACACGGGTGTCTTAAACGGTAAGACAAATTTAATTTTTAATTTACATCCTATTTATGGTCTGTAACACATATTGTAAACTGATTTCACTCAAAAACGGTATCGAAAAAACGCAAGAGACCTATTTTTGTAAAAAACTATGGGAAACGAGCGTGTTATTTCACAAAAGTGGCAAGAACCAAGAGCCATAATTGTTAGGGTACTTTTTACTCTAAACCCCCCCAGTTTAGGGCGCTCCTGAGTAAAAATTTCGAGATTTTATCTTTGAATTCGTTTGGGTGTATAAAGGTTATCAGTTGTACCAAATTCTGTAATTTTATCTACAATGGTTTCTAAAATATTGACAAAAATCTATTAAAAGATGCACCCCGTTGAGGGGGTGTAGCTCCCTCACGTAGCATTTTTCGATACATGTTTATAGGAAACTTTTATCTTAAAATTGAATATTCTATCACTTGTTTAAATTTGTAACAATAAAAAACGGAACACCCTGTATTATAAGTTATCACTCAGAAATGAATTGCTTACCTAAAACGGTATCTGAGGCTGTACTGTGTACTGATAAGTGTTCACTCATGGAATTCGTACTACTGGCACCCGAATCGTCTAATTTGGAATGTTCGAGGCTATGAGCATCACTGCGACTAGAAATGGAAACTCGACCATGGTTTGTAAAACGAGGACTAGAAAAAACCTAAAACCGACGAATTACATAAAATAATTTAACTTATTTTTTCAGAAAAAAAAATACCTGTGTGAACATTAGTCTGTTTGGCGACTCTAAGTTGTGCATTTTGAACGAAGTACCCCTAAAACTCATCGCTACCGAACCGAAAACCATTTCGGCAACTTGACTAAAGTCGGGTTCTGGTTTTGTATACTGTTAAAAATTTGTTGTTATTAATAAATTTTCCTGGAAGATAAATTTTACTTACCACATAGCCATAACCGTCAGATATTTCCGAATATTTTTCCTTTTCCGATTTGATGACTTCGCCTGATTTTGTGGGATCGATGGGGACTTTTTTGACGGAATTGGAGTCGAATAAAAGTTTACGGCCGCGGAAATCACATTCTCTGAATAACACAACTCGTACTTGGTCCTTACTAAATGCAAAAAATTTCTCACTAAAACAAAAAAATTTGATTAAAAAAATCCTCTAACACACTTTACATTTTAATTGTGGTTTATATAGGGTGTTTCACATAACTTTACGAGGCTTACGCCTAATGTACGCACCCAAATATACAAAAATCATAGAACACTGGATACAAAAAACACACATTTAATTATTTAATTTTTGGAAACCCATGACAGTAGTTGTCAAACTAATCGCTGTTTCATTAATAGTCATAAACTGCAGTTTTTTAGAAACAATTATCATTTGTTCTATCAAGAGACGGCATGAATATGATTCTAGTTTACCTATCTTAATCACTAACTAACTAAAAACGTTGTAATTTTTTAAAGGGTGAACAAATTAGAGAAAATTATTCAATTTTTCAAAATTTGTAATCGAGTTCGTATCGGAATATGTATTATTGATTGCATCTTACAGGCGCAGGCCTCGTAAAATTACGTGAAACACCCTGTATTAGAATTACCACTCACGTGTTCAAATAAGTTCAACAAATTTATAAAGGCTTAAAAAACAAGATAAGACAAAAACGTGACTTGTAATCAACAAAAATGTTTTCATTTTTGATATATTATTTGATTATTTCATTATTTGTAATATTATTCATTTTTCAACGAAAATTAAGACTAAATCTAAGGGGAACAAGTTAAACAACAAAAATTAACCTTTCTAAAACTAACATTTTTTAATAACAAGACAATGCTTTTTCTGAAATATAAGTATTTATTTTTTTTTAATCTAAAATACAGGTGCGCCAGAACTCGCGCCATATAAAATGCCATATAAAGTAAGATACCGGAACATGGAAAAAAAATGCTAAAAAAAAATTATCTATAAAAATTTCGAAGTTATGAGAGTTTAAACTTTGCACTTTGACTCTATTTATTTCTGTTGGAAAAATAATTTTCCAAATTTTTCTGCTATAAGCTATATAATATAAGAGCAAACAAGGAAGCTCTATTCTAAATTGTAACTCTGTTCAATGTTATTTGTCGCTTTTATTGGCAAAAAATGTTGGTAGCTTTACTAAATAATTGTAAAAAAACATATACAATATCATCAGTATCATATAGACAAAAAAAAATATCAAATGTCAAAAAATAAAAGTCAAAATTTTTTGACAGATAGAATTTTTTAAACATTTTTTCCATGTTCCTGGTATCTTATCTTACTTAAATTTTTTATCTGGGGCGCGAGTTCTGGCACAGCCCGTATGTAAGAAAGAATTGAGAAAACTCAGCTTTTCCTTAAACTCAATAAACAATAGAATTGATCCCTAAATAATGAAAAAAATTATTATAACATCACAAAGTTATCTTTATTTTTTGTAGCTGCAAAAATACAGCTAACAGAATTTTTTAAAAACATATTTTTTACTTGTATGTAAAGTCGAGGTCAAACTAGCCATTTAATTTATTGCAAAGTTGGCAGCGCCTAGCCCGCCACCTCTAGTGTGTGGGTTGTGTCTATGTTGGCAGCAGAAATAACTAAATTGTGTCAACAATTGTGACAGGCGCAATAGATTTTCTTATATACAGGGCTGTTTACAGTCTTGGAGTTGAAAATTGACCTAGTAATAGAAGAGTACAGAAATATTGTAACCGAGAAAAAAACTCACACAATTGTTATTATCAAGAATGGTATGTAACTCCAAAATATTGGTACACGGTTTGAGGGTCACTGGAATTATTTCCTTGTTAACATAAAATTGTATTGTTGCAACAGATAAAAAATCGTATCCATGACAATGAAAGAGAAAAGTCACTTCATAGATTTATCATCATTTGATTTGCATTTGCTTTAGATTTTATCAAAATTCGAAGATCTTCTGTTTAATCTCTTTCAGCGAATGGTTTCCAATAGATTTGATTCGTTTTTCTTAATTTTTCTTCATATTTATGAACATGTATGGCAAAATATTAAAATAATAAATTGGTTGTCATGATTATGATTTACAGTGAAACACAAGGTAATGATACTAATGGCCATTGTTACAGCCAAAGCAGCAGTTCTCAAACAAATAGTGTAAAATGAATAATTTCCTTTAACAACGTGAATTTTTGTTTTATATAGCGTATTAGTTTTCTTCTACCCTGAATATCATCTCATTTAAATTTCAACCTTAAGACTGTAGACACCCTGTATATTACTTTAACTTAATTTTTACAAATTTACACAGGGAAGTACGCTATTTTTAGGACACCTGTATCTACATACATACAGTGAAACCTGAATAATCCGAAATAATAAAGCATTAGACCGAGTTTTATAAAAATAAATAATCGCATTTAATACTGAATTAAACCCATAACATCAATTCTAGCAACAATTGGAGGGTTCAGGAGCCAATCAGTGTAAGTCGAATCATGTTAAAAGTCTAAAGCATTATTGGTCTTATCACAAAAAAAAACTGTTGATAAAAAGTTAATGGTTTGCGATAGTGATTTTTTTATTATAAATTAAGTTAAATAAAAAATAAACTAAATCATGTAATAGTTATAATTTTACACTTCTTTTTCAAAAATTCATTTAGTAATTTCAGTTTTTTTATTCAGTTGCATTTTAATAAAACATTAATTGAAACGCACACCTGTGCGTTATCGAAATTCATAAAAATGACTCCAATAAACAGCATTAAACCAATAGATAAAAAAGTTAATTACACAAACAAGTAATTTTACTCCAAAAATCAATACTTTTCCGGTCAATCTAAAGCCAGTTGGCACGCATAAAGTGTAGTTTACAGTGTAATAAAATTCAATGTTTTTATTACTGTTTACTGTAAAAATACCGAGTAGTCTAGTAGTGTAACAAACAGATTTTTGGCATTCTTTAGTAGCAAATATTCATTAATAATTTATCGAAACAATACGAGCAACGAGTAAAAAATTTCCAATTGATATTTTTGTGTTATGTATTAGTTTATTTTTAGTTCACTTTTGCATTATTCATTATTGACTTAACACAAAAATTATTATAATTTGTCAACAGTCAATAGAAAAAATCAACGCAGATCTATTTTGGCATTGTTATTGGGTTATTAATAGGTGTGCAAAAGTAAACTTTACAATGTAATTACGGCCGTCCTTTCCTATCATAAAAGCATGTGACTATTGCTTAACAAACATGTGATGTGGGTCGGTACAAAGAAAAAATAAACAGGACAACGTCACGCAAGAAGGCGGGAACGCGACTAAATATACACAATTCAGAATTTATAAGAAACTATTCGTCATTAATTACTTTAATTAAGATAAATTGAGTCCGATTGGAGATTTATTTCCCCAATAAATACTCAAAAATGGGTCACATTGGCAACACCGGCGAATCATCAAAAAATGATAAAAGAACCCACTACCCATGTTTATGATTGCTCCTAAGGTCGGAGATAGGGAAGTGGTATGAAAGTTTTATAATTTCGTGAAAAAAAACCCGTGTGATTGAGTCCTTACCTGACATTCTCTTGGTGTTTATTGTGTGTGCCCCTCCGGTTCGAGAATAGTTTATTGAATAGGGCCATATCAGCGAGCCCTCACTGATCAAAATCATTTACGAGCAGCACGAATTTCGCCTTGCTTGATGCCAGAAAAAGTCCACTCACACAGTAAATATCACGTGCATTCAAGTCATATGATTTGGTCACCGTCGGGTCACGGAGTTCACTTCTATGCGCAGGGATTTTCGCGTTAGCACATGACGTGTGTGCAGCACGATTTGCGACTGGAAAATTATTGAATTGACGAGCGAACGAACAGAAACTGCTTAAAAAACATCATATTTTCTGTGTGGTAATAGATAACCTTTGAGTTTGATAAAAATGATGGAAACTGGAATGGAGGGAAGCGCTGTTGCCACGCCGCGCCGTCATTTGGAGTAATTGCGGTAGTTGGCGGGGCTTCAGACCACTAGGAAGTGACATCGACATGGACGAAGGATAGAGGTTTTGTAGATGTAATTTGAAGGTCAGAAAACTGGAGGGATTGGAAAAAAAACTAATTTATTTAAATCATAAGTTTGTTAGAACTTCAAAACTATTAAAAGTGATGTCAACTTGTCAGTATTTTAAGAAAAATGTGTAAAGTGGCAACCCTGTCAACCCTTAAGGGGATTCTACCCAAAAGCTAACGGTAAATTAGTGGGGAAAACAGTAAACGAGATATTATTTCGTACAGCCGTGCGATGAATGATTGACAGGATTGTAAAAGATCCCTAAAATTGAAATTGTTGGGTCGGTTTGCAGGTAAAAGGAATAATCTGAGGGAAATCTGGTGCTTGGGTTTTTTACACATTTATGAATTTGATTTTGTTTTTATTTTATATTTATTTCAGCCCTAATTAAATTCGAATTTAAAATTAAAGTCGTAGTTTAAAATTCGAGCGACCATTAGGGTGCGAAAATTTTAAGAAACTATAAAATTCGGGTTGTTTTTCATTTTAATATTAAATTAGAAATTTTATTACATTCAGAAATTATTATGCAGCAATTTGTCAAAATAATATTAAAATTGACAATATGCCAAGAGAAGTGTACTCCATAAAACACATCGTCAATCAAATCGTAATTTATAACTAGAGCTTATTCCATATCAGGTGGCGAACTGACAGTGACAGAAAAGACATTTGGAGTGCGCCCACTTGGTTAAGATAAAACAATACATACAATAAAAATTTTTGCAGACAAGGATTGTTAAGAATATCATTTTTGAAAATTCTTTTCATGCGATAACAATTTAATAATTTGTTCATCATTCTTCATCTTATGTACGAGTACCTACTTATTATAATTTTGTAAGGAAAAACGGTGGTTTTGAAATATTATTTCATACGACACCTATAAACAATATTTTTTTTAATAGTAAACATATGTTTAGTGTCAAAATTCAGTCATTTTTGACAACGTCAGTTCGCCACGAGATTTGGAACAAGCTTTACATGAACATTTATTTTGACATTTTGTTAATTTTGACAATTTTCTTTAAAACAATTTTTAGATTTCTGCTTCAATATTAATGTTGAAATTTTTTTTGAAAACAACACGAATTTTATAGTTTATTAAAAATATCGGTCTATTAAATTTTCGCTCTCTAACAAAACAAAATATTTTTTTCAAGAATTTATTATTGTCAGACATAATTAGTTTTCAAGTAATCATCAGATTTACTGCAATTTATTGACATCTTGACAATAAGCAGGAAATTAATTTACAAGTTTTTGTACAACTGATTTCGTAAAAAATTGTTTTTTTATTTACAATTTTTAACTCAAAAACAAATTACTATTGAAAATTGCATGTTATAAAAATAAAGATTTTTATCTGACAAAATCGACATGAGCAAAGAAAATGTACTTATACTACATTTTTGATAATTATTTTTAATTTTATTTATTACTTTAGGAAGGTACATACCTACTATGTAAAAATTGTGTTAAAACCTCAAGAATAAAGTAAATATCGGGATTATTTAGCAATTGTGGCATTTATTGTCAGTTGCGGTAAGCGGTTATTTATGATGGGTCCCAACTGCAGATACAGTGGAAAGAGAGAACTTATAAGAGATAAAAGTTTTAAAAATTATTAATCCGATTCGCTGGCGTATAACACATATCTTTTATTTAAAACAAAAAATAATAAAAAATTTCAGTTAGTTTCCCAGATATTTTAAATCGAGTTTACATTGTAATTCCCATAAGAAGAATACGGGTGGAATCCCCTTAAGAGGCGGCCGGAGCAAAATCTCTTATGGGAGTTCCTATGTAAATGTCTACCTCTGTATTTCAAAAACTACTAAAGATATTTTTATGAATTTGGTATCATGTGAAAGAGAATATTTTTTTTTCTACATTTTGACTGTTTTAGAATTGCGATAGGGTATTTACAAATTGTAATAAAGGTAGAGAAAGTTTGAATAAAAGTGCGCACAATAAAAAAATACATTTGAAGACGTATTTCTGAACTTTTAAAACAGTCAAAATGTAGATTGTTGTATATTAAGGTGACAATTTCAAGTCCGGTAAAAAAATATTTCTAAATAACACCTCTACAGAAGTAGGACGATTTGGAATCGAAAATCGGGAGAGCACAAGATTCTTTACAACCCCCACATAAAATGTAACCGCAAACAATTAGACCCAAATTTACAACCACACCCGCCGACAAGCTGATGACACAGATGTCATGAATTTGTACAAGAAGATTTTAGAGATTTTTAAAATTGCTTTACAGTTTAATTTTTACCTTTCGCGTAAATGAAAATTATAATTTCATTACAATTGGGTCGTTATACATTTTTTTATTGCATATTCTGAATCTTTATTAAAAAATAATTGACCCATGTTTTTGTTTTTTTTGAATTCTTAATTTTAGTACAAAAAAAATATATCAAAAACTCGTAAAATTAAATAAATTCAAAACGCGCGCGTTGAAGAGGAAACTAAGTGCTGAAAAGGGGGAAAATATTATTGTTGAACGCTGCGGATTATTTACGTATTACAATAATGCCAGCAATACTTGTTTTTATATAAGATCAATAAATTATTTTGATTTGTTGTCATTTTTTCTCATAAAAATTATAAAAACCGAAAGTGAGGTTAGTTGCCTAAGGCCCGTTTTACATTTTTATGTCAGTCGAATGACAAATCGTCCAAAATTCCGTGTCCGCCATTGTATTTGAAGGCCAATAATGGACACCCATAATAAAATGTCATAACTTTTTTTCATTTATTTTTAAGGACATTAAAAGTTACGCTAAATTGTTCTTTTAATAGTTAAATGTTATGTGCATTTTTCATGTTGATTTGAATTTGGTTCGATTTCGCTAATCTGTTGCGCTAAAAATATTCACATCTAATTGACACTAATCGAAGTAGATTGTCTAATATTTTAGGAATAACTTTCTTTCCTCGTTCCAAAGTTGGTTTTGTATCTATTTTAAGTAGCTTTTTACATTTAAGTAGTTATTTACATTTTTAAAACTTTTCTTACAAAAAATATGAACATAACGGGCTAGTGTTCAGAATATTTTCGATTCACTAATTAAAATTATAAGATTTAAAGTATCTTTACTGAAAATAATCTAAATGTTATGAATTAAATTTTGTTACATAGCTAATAATTTAATGCAGAAATTGCTTGTTTTCACATCTATGTTAAATATTAAAACATGTGATTTATTTAATTTGCACATGTTTTTCAAAATAAAAACAATGACAACGAAATCAGTGTTAAGTTTGTTTGTGCTCATGTAGAGCCACGAATTTGTAAAAATTTAATGGTAAATGATGGTAATAATGCTATAACGTATAGAGCATTTTTTGCTATTTTCTTTTATTAGTATTTTGACGCTAATAGACAAATTAAAATTTGATTTATACAATAAGAACAATTTATTTTTAGCTTGGAATTGATAGAGTATTTCGGGCAAGCTAAGTTTTAGTGAACTTATTATACTAGATTAACCTGTGGTCATTTATTAACGAATAATATACATAACAAAGTTGTCTAAGCAAAAATTTCATTTTTGGGTAACTGATTCTGTAAGAGAATATTTTTAGTTTACATTGATGTAATAAAAAGGTTTTTAAATGTTTTTTTATTTGCTTTCAATCAAATGTTTTACTTTTTGATATGAGCAAAATAAAAAGTAACCATTTATTTACTAGTTAGTCATTTTGCGAGGTTATAACGGGAGTTTTTTTTTTAATTTAGCGTCAAAGCTGTCCATGAAAGTTATTAGATTGTGAACGAACCATCATATTGATTTTACACCTCGCCGGGCGCCACAGTGGGCCAAATCACTGATCTAGCGGGACCATTTTTTTATGATCTAGTTTTTTTTATAGAAAAGTGTACGCTACACAAAAAGTTTCTCATGGATTTTTGTGTAAAATAATTCCTCAATCAAAATGAGTCTTTTCCGGACTCAATAAAATAGTACGCAAAACGGTTATTTTAGGTACTCAGTCCCCAAAAGCAGTTTTTGCGGACTAAAAAATAAAATTAGTTACTATAGTTACGGATTTTTTTTAATTAGTACAGTTGGAGACAAAATACTTTGGACGTCACTTTTCTGACACTGTAATGTAACTCAAGCTTTAACGTTAAAATGAATGACAATTTCAAATTAATGACAGCTATTAAATTTTCCTATCAAAAATGTACATACAACTCGTCAACTATCATTGCTTTACAATTTAATGTCACTCAAGTGACATTGACGACCAAACTATTTTGTCTCCAACTGTAATAAGAGGTGTGAATTCGTGTTTTGGGAGCTTTAACAAAAAAATATTGTATGCACCACGTATGCAAAAGGTTTTAGGTGACTCCTCTCATTAAAGACTCGGCTCCTACGTCGCCTCGTCATTAATTATGATTCCTCCCCTAAAACCCTATTTTGCCTACTTGATACATAAATAGCTTTTTTGTATACGCTCCCGAAAACAGCTGTAGCCCTCAAGGCTCCAAATTAATGATTATCAGCATAAAATTGCGATTTCGTTTTTGTCCCTCTGGATCGGTTTTTTTTTGGCCCACTGTGGGGGGTATTAAAAATTGTGCTCCGTTCACAACACCTCATAGTCACCGCGTGGTCACCACCAATTGAGACGCTAAATTGAAAAAAAATAACTGTTATAAGAAAATGATAAACACGTCAAATAATTTAGTTTATTCATTTGCAGTTTTAAGAGTAAAAATTGGAATTTCATTTATTTTATACTCGAGGTCTATAGTTATAGCCAATTTAATTGCAGATTTATACCAGTTTTCATTTTTATGGCAGAATTTTTATTTTTATTTAAGTATATTTGGTTGCATAACGATACACATTAGATTTTTTTTTTGTTATTTAACAATATTTTTTTTAAAGTTAACAATTACTTGTTTACTAACGTTATATTTTTATTAAATTTTATTAAATTCGGTTTTATGGGGTACTAAATAATTTTCTCCATTTAAAAAAAAAGGATATTTTTACACTGTTGCTATATTCCGCGCTTGCGTTCTTTTTCAGATAAACCTCGTTCGTTCGTTGATTCTCGGCAACAATCGAAACGAATTTGTTAACCTGCAAACATCCACAAAGCTCGTGTTTGCTCTCTTTGTGCATTTTTAAGTATTTTTCTTGAAAATATTGCACTTAGTATTTTATATTAGCAGTAAAGTCGGTGATGTAAGTTAGTATTTTACGAGTATTATTCGAATTGCATATTTTACAACCTCACAAAATGTCCGATATGTAAGTTTTATTGTTGAGATTTTACTTTCATTTAAAACACAATAAAAATAGCAGTAGTTTTAACAGTGAGACCAGTTTCAGTTATTTATGTAACGATTATGTTTAGGGGTGATGATGATCTATTAGGTGGTGATTCCGACTGTGAACCTTATGACTTCTCTGAAGAAAAAGAAGAGCTTCTTCTGCAAGGGGATGACGACTACTCAAAAGCAGAAAATTCGTACAAGAAAGGGTCGATTTCTGATACAGACGATCAAGAAGATGTTCTTAGTTTAGACATTGAAGAAGATTTTCAAGATGTTGAAGGTAAGGCATCATTTAATGAAATTTATTTAATACTGCTGTTGTTTTAGAGAAACTTTTACATGAGGAGAATGAGGAATCGAAAATAAAGAAAAATGAGAAATTTTCATCAGAAAGGAAACAACAAAACACCCAAAATATACCCGTTGTTAAAAAACATCCACACCCCCAGAAATCAAATAATGGTAACTATAAATTAGTATGTTTATAGCTAATATGTTTTTTTTTAACTTCAGTAGCGCTTCCTAAAGAGAGAAATGCACCAAAAGTTATAACAAGAAATGAAAACAGGAGGAGAAATGTGGGACGCGGTAATTTCCATTCACGACCAAACTTTGTCAAGAACAACTTCCAAAGACGCAGAAACGGAACTGTTTTAATCAATCCAAGATATGAAGGCACAGTGCGTGCCAATGAAAATAGTAAACTTGCATATCTTTTGTTAAATTTATATTCATTTTTGTTAATTCCAGCCCGACTTGCCTGGGATAACACTCATTATTCCCAAAGCAACGCGTCTAATTTTGTTCAACCATGGGTGTCTGGAAACGGTTTGAATTACGAAGCTAATCCCCAAAATCAACTTTTAAATAATTTAGTCGCATTGTTACCTCAAACTTCAAGCAATGTTTTTCAATCTTCAGCGAACAGTTACCAACCGACGTTGTCGTTTGAACCTCCGCCGGGCATTCAAACTTCATCATATAATCAAGTTCAGGTGAGTTTAGTTTAGGTAAAGCGCTGGAAAATTCTACGATTTTTGTTTTGAATGCAGCCCTATTGCCAATGGAATTCGCCAAATGTTTTGAATGATAATCAGGTCAGTTTGTATGTTTAGATATTGTGAAATCACTGTCAATTTTCATCTCATTGCTAAAAAATCACAGAAGATGCATGAAATTATAATTGTCACAAAAATTATTATCATTCTTAATTAATCGTTGTGATTTAGTGGTGTTTGTGATGGGGCAAAATGTCACCATATTTTTTTTAATTACCAGTGCTGAACAATAATTTAACAACAGACAACAGCTAATATCTGTTTCTAATTGCTCCCAAATAAACTACAAACTATCAAAATTTTATGTTGATAAATTACTCATTTCAACCAACACATTTTTTTCTACAGGTAATCACAAACAACATTTTGAAGCAGATATTAGGTATACAGGGTGATTCAAATGTCTCGGATCATCTCTTGGGTGATGATAAAGGACATCCAACTGAGTCAAAAGTTTTCATGACAAACAAATTTGGGCCTTTTTTCAAAGGTTAGATTTTGGGATAAGTTTTTGGCCGTTCAGATTATGTTTTCTTGAATTTAATTAAATGACAAATTATTGTGGAGTACGAAACATTTAACAAACTCGAAAATTCAACAATAAATTAAATCTGCATCCATTTTTATGCTTAACTGAAAGTCTTTTATCACCATTTAAGAATTGGTCCGTCACTTTTGAGTCACCCATGGAAGAGTTTAATACAGAGGTTGTTTCAGAACTCGCGCCCCAAAGAAAAATAACATGTAAGGTAAGATACCAGGAACATGGAAAAACTGTAAAAAACAATTCTATCTAAAAATTTTAAAATTATGGGAGTTTATATTTTGCAATTTGACTATTTATTTTTGTTGAAAAAATAGTTTTCCAAGTTTTTTTGCTACAAGCTATTAGAATAGAAAACTAGGAAGCTGTATCTTAAATTGTAAATTCATATTTTCCCATATACATATAAAGTAGAAATTAACTCAAATATATTATAAATATATGATTTAATAATAATTTCTACTTTATGTGGATATAGGAAAATATGAATTTACTGTTTAACCGATTAACCATTTAACTGGTTAATCAGTTAACCGTTTAACTAATTTGGATTAACTAGTTAGCTGATGTTCTTGGTATTTTATCTTACTTAGAATTTTTCTCTGGGGCGCGAATTCTAAAACACCTACACCTGTACATATGTCATTCGAATGCATTATTATGTGCATTTGATAATTGATTTTGTTGTGATGAAGTTGTAAAAAAATTTAGTTGCAGTAAAAATAATTTGTTTACTATATTCAATTTTTACAATTCTTTAATTACAAGTATTTAACTAGATTGAGTGTTTTTGTATTATTCTTACTGGAAGTGAGTTTTTCACAATTCTTTTGATGGTAATTTCTTTATTTACTACTTGATTTTTAAGAGTGGAATTTTTTTCATTGTAGAAAAGTTTCCTACATATCCTTCCTGGTTTAACTTATAATATTTGGCATTTTAACAGGAAAGGCTTTTCTACAATTTTTTTTCTACAATTTTATTTGATTTTAGTTTGTTTATTTTTACCTTTTTTTATTAGATATTTATGTGAACAATTTTGTTTTAACTTCGGCATTATAACGTCTTTGTCAATGATTTTGCAGTTGACTTGAAGACTTGTTTATATTATATGCCGAGGGCTATCTGCTATGAAAGCCAACAATAAAAAATTGTTTACCAATGAATAAAAATAAAATGTTACAGTATTTTTCAATAAATAGAAATTAGTTGTTTTTTTTTAATTCAACTAAATTCTATTTATATTTGCTCGGATGTTTTTCGAACATCTCAATTGTTTATTTAATTATGTCAATTTTATACAATTCGTTAGGTCTCTCGTGGACTATATCCAGCGACGCAATCTAGCACATCGTCTCTTCAGCCATGTTTATCAAGAGGAACACAAAGTTTCAACGATTCGTACACAAACTACTACAACAGTAAATCAAATCAAAGTTATTCTTCTCAAAATGTTAGACCAAACTATGAAAATAGGAGAAAACCTTACAACAATACTTTGTCAAGCCAGACTACCAACTTTCAAAACAAAAATTCAAATTACATTAGTAACAGTTTTTATAATAGAAACTCTAATCTTAGTAACGTTCCAAACCGACCATCCCACAGCAGTTCTAATATAGTTCAAATTGAAAGTAGAAATCAACTTAGCGAAAATCGACCAACTACTTACAGGAACGATTTTAAACAAGGCCAAAATCAGAACTTTGTATCAAATATGCAACAGTTTCAGATTAGAACTGAAAATGAACCTATTATTTCTGCGGTTAAAAGATATAATCAACATTTTGACGAACAGAAAAATAGGCGAGCAAATGACAATTCTGGCACAAGAAGCGAACAACCAGAAAAGAAAACAAAACTAGATGAAGTTAGTCAAAAATCAATCGATTCAACTAAAGAGTCGAAGGGAAAAAGCGTACCACCAAACGAAAATACAGTAAGTAAAAAAATGTTAATTTGGATTGAACTAAACTCGATTTTTAAAAGGATTTCGAAGATGAAGAAACAAGATTGTATCGAATGAAAATAGAAGAGCAGAAGCGCGAAAGAGAACGAATATTGCAGATGAAAGAAGAGAGAAGAAGACAAATGATGCTGCAACGAAAACAGGAAGAAGACAAAAAACTACCACCACCACCACAACATACCGAAAAGCCGAAACAAGAAAATTTCTCCAAGCCTGTTAGCTTTCAAAAACCGAATTTTGAACGTGTTGCTGACATAGTCACCGTTCAAAATCAATATGCGCAAAAGTCTATAACCAAACCAAATCAGGTGCAAAATTCAGTCCAATATTCTAATGTTAAATCAGATATTTCTGATGGATTTCCTAATCTGACGTTTAAAATTACGAATAAGATTCAAGAAAACGCCCCAGTTCAAAATATGCCGAAAAGTGAAGTGTCCTCTAGTGGATTCATGTCAAATCGGGTTGTCGTTGTCAAAGGGAAAACCGGTAGTGTTTTACCAGTTTCATCAACTAGTGCTCCTAAACCAGTCAGCAATGAGGGTAGCCAATCTTCCAATGTAGGGCAAGGGCTTTCTTCTTTCTTCAATAACCGTAAAGTGTTGAAGAAAGATAGTACGTTACTTGATACAAGACTGGTTGTTGTTAATAATTTGTCGGCAAATTTTAATCAAAACAAATTGATGGCTTTGACTCGAGGCATTGGGGAAATACAGGTAAGATAATTTGATTTTTTTAAATGATTCTTCGAGTCTTTTTTCGGTTTAGTGATTTGTAAAGTGGTTGAAATTTCGATTTTCATCAATGGATTTTTTCCACTGGTAGTAATTCAGGTTTCTTGTATTTTTTTTTCGTCGTGGATTTCCTTCTATTAAACAGTCTTTAATTTTTAAACGACAATTTTTCTCAAATTTACAAATAACTTCACGAAGATACTAACGACGGCTCGTCTTAAAAAATTCCAATTATCTCACGTCTTCTATTTTTTTTCTGGGAGATAATGTGTCTCTGTTAGAAAGGATTTCAGTCAACTACATTTCAATGGCCATATTGGCAATAAGTACACACCTGGGTGGGGACTAATTTCGCTGGGACGCGGACCAGTGGCGTAACAAAATAATTTTATTCAATTAAAATATTCAATATTCCCAATACTACAATCCCCAATTATCTGTTGTTATAATTGAAGTAGAAAAATTGATATTTACACATACAAATGCGGACACGGAATTTTGGACATTAAATTTATATCAGTTCATAAAACGTTAATGTAACGCTTTATTGCCATTATGATTGACGTTTGAAAATCTTAAGGTTTTAGTTGAAATTTATTTTTGGTGTCGATTTTCCGAAACAATAATGCCAACAGTACGTGTGTTTAATAAATTATTTTGATTTGTTGTCATTTTTTCTCTAGGATAAAAATTACAAAAACCGAAGGTGAGGTTAGTTGCACGTAAGACCCGTTTTATATCAATCAAATGACAAATCGTCCAAAATTCCGTGTCCGCAATTGTATGTTTTACTGTATCATTTACGAGAAAACTGCATATAAATTATAAATCCCACTATCAAAAATTACAGTTCAGGTAAATACAGCAGTTTTCCAATGGTGTTCTTTATTTTAATCCCTTCTCAAATATTGCGATGATATAACATGAATTTACCAAAAACTCCCATCTTTTTTCAAGTGGAATTGTCCTAGACCCGTTTTGGTCATCTACGCATACATGCCCAAATGTGTACTTATTGCGTTTATCTCATTCTAATATGTGACAAATATTTGATTTCTCTTTAAAAAAAAAATCAGTGTAACAACTCCACTATTTCATACAGAAATAACATTAGTGACAGAATGGCGATTGAAATGGTGTATTAACCTCGGGATTTTTATTGTCACAATGGCAATATCGCAACTGTGTTTTTTGAGGTGAAGTAGGTCACAAACATTTGATTTCTGTTTAAAAGAAGACTCTCTGTTAAAGTGAACCTTACTAACAAATTTAGAGCTAAAAAGCTCTACTTTTTTATACTGTTTTTTTTTTATTTTGGTTAAAAAGCTTCATACTAGAATTTTCTCAACATGGATCGATTTCAGAACGATACAGATGAGTTTCATTTTTTTTTACGTAAAAAAGTATTTAGGACAATGTCGTTCATCGAAAACGAGTTTTCCAGTGGGTTCTTAATGGTTCTTTTGTTGAAATAATTCGTCTCTTTTTCCTAGTTGTTCATCATGATCCGACTTCTTGTTTTACTTACTTGTCCGAAATAACTTTTAATTACACGTACTTCAAACTGTTAAGATACGTGTCATAGATTTTCTATCTTGATAGAATGTGATACAAATAATATGAATTCAGTGAAATTTAAAATTAAATTTTAATTGGTACATAGACCTTTTCAAAAAAAGGGAAAAAAGTTTAATGGTGTATTTTTATATCTATTTATTAGAAAAAAAAATATAAGTATTCCTGAAATTTAGAAAATTCATATTCATTATCAAAATGGCTATCAGGGTAAAAATTTAAAAATAAAAAAGCACATGATGCCACGTGTTTTTTAAAATTTGGAGTCGAAGCTGTCCATGAAAGTTTGATTGTGAACGAACCATCGTATTGCAAGTTATTAATCTGACATTTGACACTCCTCCGTGCGTATTAAAAATTGTGGTTCGTTCACAACACAATCATAGTCACCGTCAACTATGACACCAAATTTAAATGAACACCTGTTATTAGCGATGTTAAAATAATATTTCTATCAAATTTGTAATAGTACATTACAAATGCTGTGATAAATATGGCATTACCCCTAGTGGTCATGTAGATATACATTCGAGAAGTGCCAGTCTCGAGGTCGGATATAGAACAAGGGGTAATGCCATTACCATCGAGGTTTGTATGCATTTTATTCACAATCACATTATTTTTAGTCAAAAATTTGAATAAAATAAAATTTTAACAAAGTTAAGGTCCAAACGTGGTAGACCATCAAAATTGCGTTTGATTTTTGACATTTCAAAAATGTCAAAATAAATATTGAAATAATGTGTGAATCTGATATTAAAATTGTTGAAATGGAGTAGTGAAGAAAGAAGAAAAACCGCTACAGAAGCAATTAATTACTAATTTAGCAAAAAGGTTAAAAAATTCCCTGCACTTTTGGCAAACCTGCATATTACCGCCCAAGAGATGAAATAATATTACTGCTCATGAGATGTAATGATGTGTTTCCCAACTTTTAAAAGGTAATGAGCAAATTACATTAGTGATTGTGAATAAAAATATTTTCTCGAGGAAGCATTGACACCACTTGACATTACTTTCACTTTCTCTTGTTTATTGAAAAGCTTAATTAAATATGTATATCACAACAAATTATCTGATGGTCAGTTTTAATTATCTTCAATTATATCTGTTTGTACAGAGTAACAGAAAAAAAACGTTAAAAGATTCGATAATTCGATTTTATAAATAAAAAAAATTGCATGGGCTGCTTATCGAAATTAAGGTCACTGTAGGGTTTTAAAAAAAGTTTTTGTAAAAAAAAATCGTAAGTACAAAAATAACATTAAACACATTTTCTAAAGAAAATTAACTCTCAAAACCGAATTTATTAAAAAAGCATAAAACTTCTTTGAAAGCAGAATTATTCGTATTAAAGAGGATGAACATTTTTCGTGACAGTCTACATAGTTTGTTAATTAGTAAAAAAAATTATTATAAATATTTTAAAGTCGTTTTTTAGCCTTGTGGCAGTAGTGCAAATAGTAAAAGTGGGTAAAACGTGCGAGGACAATTTTTATCTTTTATTGTAATTGTCTATTACAAACCTAACAAGTAGAATAAAATTGACCACTCAAATGTTTCAGTTTGCTGTGATATTGTTCAACTTTTTGTTAAGGGCATATGACTTTAAATTTCACTGAAATGACGATTCTGTGATATTTCGAAGACTGATACTTGTAATTAGTTTTTTAGATTGTTATCCAGTAGTTGATATTTACTTAGTATTAAATTTTCAGAAACTGCGAGTGGATACGCAAGAGCGACAAGCAACAATTCTATTTAAATCTGTTGCATCCGCTCATGCATTTTTTAAGAAATATCAACGACGAATACTTGATGATTTGTCTGTGATTGAAGTTAAATTAGAACCGATGATTTAAAAGGTTTAGACTAGTTGTTTTTTTTGTTTTGTAATTTAGTGTATGGATTTTTGATTTTGTTTTGATTAGTTTTTTTTTATTTTGTAATTTCATATTCTAATATTGTAAATATAAATAAGGCAAACAAGCATGTGAATTATAAAAATCTGATTACCAATACTTTAATAGATATAATCGTCTAGGGAATTTATTCTATAAATGTCTTTGTGGAGAAAAGTGTGTAGCATGATTTTAGAAATGGTTTTGCCATTTGGACACCTTCACTTTTACTAAAAAAATTTGATTGATTCATAAAAATATGTTAAAAAATGAAGAAGGAAGAAATCTTCTCTCCAGGATCTGAGAGATTTTTTCACGTGTTTTCGGCACTCACGCTATAATTATATCATGTTCACGACCATTTCCATTTGACGTCATAATTATTTATGATTTATTTTTAATGAATATTCTTCGAATCCTTCCGTTTTGCGTGTGGCAAATAGAGTTGACTTTTTGTCTGATTTTTATTTTGTTTTTCTCATAATTAATAATTAGGTTTTGTATAGTTCTTGTGTTCAATGGTCAGACGACCATTTGAATAAGTGAATTTTGTCTTTTTGTACAAGTTTTGTCAAGAAATGTGTAACTAATTTCGTCTGTTACAATAAAGTGTTTTTCAGTGTTTATAATTGTGTGATTAAAATCAACCATTTCCTGAAACATTGTGAAGTTTGTAACTGAAAAATTGATATTTTGTTAATAAAATCTAAACTTTGTAAAAGAGTCACATACTGTACAAATGAAATAAATGAGAATTATTTTCAAGTTTGAAGTAGTTTTATTAGTAGACATTGACAGTGATTAATTCAATACACCACCACCAGCAGGATGACTTATTTCAAAAATGTCACGCCTAACGAGAACGTAGTTATGGGAATGACACCATTAAAACAGTAGCAGTGTAATATTTTTGTGTATTTTGAGGCGGAAGTGATAAAATGAAGGTTTCCTGCTTTTATAAAAGAAATCTTGTTTAATCTAAATCCTTCACTTTCAAATCAGTGCAGCTTTTTTGTTAACCACGAGTTGATCAGTCTTGTGGTTAAAATCATTAATTTGCCGGTTTTGCAGATTAAAAAAAATTATAAAATGTTTATATTCCAGTGTTGACGTCTTTCAATCGCATTAAATCTCAATTTACTTATCAAATTGTCATCCTGTGCACGCGGCCATTTTGAATGAATGAAATCGTAGAGGGGAATGTTATTCATAAAATGTAATGTGTGTTTTATACCTCTAGTGAATGTGTGCACACAGAAGTAAATAAATCAGTGCCTTACACAAATTAAATATTTTGTGCTGATACATTGACTTACATGTGACTTAAAAACTAAAAACTACTTGACAAGAAAAATTCAAGGTAAGGTTAATTTTCTCATTAAAATTTTTAGAAGTTAATGAAGGTCTGTAACCACAAAGAGACACTTCTACAGGGTGAATATAAAGTATGGTACCAAGCGGTTTTATTTTTAATCATTTGCCTCCAGAAAATAATAATTAATATAAATTAAAGTAATATGAAAAATGTGATCGTATTTTCAGAGCGAAATTTTGTTTTGTTTTTGAGTTATCCGAATTTTTTTTGTCAAAATTGCAATTTATGTGAAAAATTTTTTTGAAAAAATTAAATATAATGCAGACAGTTGTAATCCTTAGAGTATAGCTTTTATGAGAAAAATGATTTTATAGTGGGTTGCCATTTAAAAAAATATTTTTTTTTTGTAGAACTCAAAAACAAAAGGAAATTTCGAAAAATTTTATTCTTGTTAAGTCATCACATTTTTATAGTACTTTATCACTCATCAATTAGTTTTTTTCAAAAAATAAATAGTTTAAGCAAAAAACGTTTGGTTCCATACTTTTTATTCACCTGGTATATTTAAAACAGTGCCCCGACAGAGAAAATGAGGTTTCATTTTAAATTAAAACTGGACTACGAAAAAATGATAACAGTAATTAATACCTATGTATCTAGGGGATATTACTAAGCAAAAGAGATAATATAACATTTTATACAAACTTTAACTTTAATTAAGTCATTAAGCGGTATGATAGAATGAATGAATCAATTTCCTGCCTAATCATGTTTTTCATTTTTTTTTATTTTACATTGACATGACTAGAGTATTTTAAATAAGTATAATAGTCCAATGTATTGTTAAATTTTGTTACTCTGAAGTGTCTTCCGGATCCATTTGGCGAAGTGCAAATGTTTTCTTAAGAATTACAAAAAAAAATGGAGAATTGAAATTTGAATTATTTTGTAATCTAAAGATTTAATATTTTTTTTAGTTTACAAATGTAGATTTATCTATATTAAGTGCAAAGTTCTGAAAATTGATTCAACGATTATATGGGACATCTGTATAACACATACAGAGTGCTCAAAATTGGAGCATTAGCTTAGTAGTATGTTTTTGAGAAGCAGATTACAATAAAAAAAAATTAAAAAAGGCATTTTTTACAAAATCTGAAGCTACAAACTGATTTTGTTTAGAATTTTCTCAAGTTACTATATTTTACTTGAAATAAACGTTTGTTTCATGTGGATATAAAATGGTGGATAATTGTTTTTAATTTAATTTCACCATTTTAATTTTTTTTAAATATTTATTTTTTTAGCAGTTCTTAAAATGTGCTTTGATCTGTTTAAATCAAAAGGACAAGTAACATTTTAATCAAAGGGTAGATAGAGTAATATATATATATTTTTTACAAATAAATGCTTAAAACAAAATAAACAAACTAAAAAAACCTAACAATCCTCATACTATCGAGATTTTAAAACCTGTCACGATAAATACAAGGTGATTCACGAGGAATAATGAGCCTGACCAAATTCTCGATGCAACCACCATTACTTTGCGCAAGTTATTTTGCGCCAACTGTAATGTTGGTTGCATCGAGAATTTGGTCAGGCTCATTATTCCTCGTGAATCACCCTGTATGTAATAATAGGAATGCTTAATTTTTTTAAACTAAAATTATGTTAGATATTAGTCTTTAACCAAGCAGGGCTGGACCCCAAAAAATGAAAATTTCAGTCGAGAATTTTTTATCTTTTACAAGTCGTTTCACTTATTCGGTGACATATTGAATACAGGGTGCGCCAGAACTCGCGCCCTAGAGAAAATTTTCAAGTAAGATAGATACCAGGAACATGGAAAAAATGTTTAAAAAATTCTATCTGTCAAAAAAATTAGCTATTTATTTTTTGACATTTGACATATTTTTATTTAATGATACTAATGATCTTGTATATGTTTTTTTATAATTATTAAGTAAAGGTACAAAAATTTTGCCAATAAAAACCACAAATAACATTAAACAGAGTTACAATTTAGGATACAGCTTCATTGTTTCCTCTTATAATAGCCTGTAGCAAAAAAAACTTGAAAAATTATTTTTTCAACAAAAATAAATAGAGTCAAAGTGCAAAATTTAAACTCTCATGACTTCGAAATTTTTATAGATAGAATTTTTTTAACATTTTTTTCATCTTCCTGGTATCTTACCTTATATGGCATATTTCTCTGGGTCGCGAGTTCTGGCGCACCCTGTATAAGCATTTCTCTATGGGAAAAAATTAAACGCTATGTTATTAAACTAAATGCTTAGCATTTCTACTTAGCATTTAGAATATTTTACTTAGCAAATCAAAATTATTTACTTAGCATTTTATTACTAGCTTTCCCTTTAGAAACATTTGTTGATTACGAAAATTTAGAATTTCAAATTAGTACAACAGCTTATTATTTTTTGCTCCAGGTAGTTATTTTGTGGTTAGTTTGTAATAATATAACAACCAGCACAAAGAAAAATGTTTTTTGTCTAGTTTTACGTAAATAAAGAATTATCATAATACATATGATAAATTGTAGTTTTTTTTCACAGTAAATATTAAATTACTGTAAAAACCCAATACAACCCTTTA